TATGATTTAACCGTTGGAGGCAAAGAGATGAAGCTTCCGGTTGGATTTTCAAAGTCGCCATTTGATATATTAAAGACGTTTAAAAGCTTTCAACGCATCACTCTATTTTGAATTTCATAATCATCTTTTAATACATTAAAAATGTTTAAAAGCACTAGGATTTAAAACCTTTCAGGCGTTAGACAATCATGAGAAAATTTCCGTTGAATAATTTAAATGCTTCAATGCATTAAAGGATTTTAATGGGCCACTTTTAAATCTCTTAATGCATTGGAAATCCATTTAAAACTCTTCTACATTTGATTTTCCTATTCATAATAATAATAAGAAAATCTGTCTATGATTAATGCTTAATTTGTTTTCATCTTCCCACATTCCCAATTAATGTAGGATCCTTTCTTTGACACACCCAAAAAATATTACAACATGTTTTACCCCGCTCATTTTAATATTTTCCCTCTTCACATTCAAAATTCAAACTTTCTTAATTTGTACTCTTTCTCTCTCATTTTTTTCATTTCTTCACCAAACCTACCTGACAACGAGGAGAGGAGGAAGAAATTTTTTTACATAAATAATCCTTTCTGCTTAGATGGGATAGGATTTCGCATAGAAGCTTCTCCCTCTCTTCTATATCCCTATTCAAGAGGAGAAGCGATGGCTGTGCCTAGCTCCTTCATTCAGCCCAAGGATGAGAAGAGGCCAAGAATTAGGCTCAAAAGAGAGATTTGTTTACTTCTTACACATTAGGTATGCATCTCCGCTTTTTCTTGGTTTCTCTTCATCTCTTTCGTCTCTTTCACTATTGCTTCATCGTCTCTTCTCGTGGAATTGGTTACAGATGGAAAGTATCAAGTGGACTGAGAGGAGAAGCGAAAGAGGCAAGCACGGAGGATTTTAGAGGCAATTAAGACAGGGATGATAAAGAGGTTAAGGGCGAAGGAAGAAGAGATAGCCAAGATTGAGAAGTTGAACTGGGCTCTGGAAGAGAAGTTGAAGTCGCTATGCGTGGAGAATCAAATACAGTGTTACGCTACCCAGTGCCTGGTTCTTCTAGATTGAAATACGGGGGGAGGATAGAATATAAAATGCTCTAAAATATGTTTGCTTGATAGGTGTTTCTTAAAATGCACGTGAGAAATTTTTGTGTGGGTTGTGCTTTTCTTTTTTGGGTATATCCTCTCTATTCTGTTTTTTTGCTTGGCTAAAATGGTGTAACAATTTGTGATCTTTGATAGTTAGGAAGAAAAGATAATGGAGTGAATGTAATAATTTGCCACCAATGAAAAGGAGTCTTATGTAAAGAGAGTCTTATTGAGTGAATGACGATTGTTTTGATGCAAGTATATCCAGAACCTCTATTTGGGTGCTCTAGTAATTAGGTGCTATTGATAGAATTTTGCTTTATTCAAGCACCGTTCTAATATTATCTTGTTTGGATTTATAAAAAAAAAAGAAGGGGAGGGTAAAATATCTTAATATGAACAATTTTGCTCTTATTTTATTTAAGATATGGACATAATGGTCATAACATGATAAAATATAGATATAATAATCACAACATGACAAATATGAGCATAATAATCACAACATGACAAAATATTACTATTTCCCTCCAAATCTTTCCAATTTTGGAAGGGAGGTTGAGGAGGGGAGGGGAGGAAAAATTTTAAAAATTTTCCATCCCCTCCTAAAATTTGTGTGTTGCCAAATAAAGAGAAATAATTAAAATCCCTCCTCTTCCCTCCCCTCCCTTCTAAATCCCTCATACCAAGTCCTCAATTTACTGAGAAGTTCATTCACGTGGAGAGGTGAAGAAATTTTGTTTAGAATTGAATTCATAATTTTATTTTTTTATTATTTAGCCTAATTGAACTACTGTCATGGTTTTTTCCCGTAAAAGCTACCTAATAAATAATTGGTAAATTCGTTATATGTTAAATTCATGTATCTTTTGTTTCATATTTTTTATTTGTAGAGGTTGATCTAGTAGGAAAGAAAGAGTTGTTTAAATTCATCAGTTCCTTTTTTCCCCAAATTTTAGGGGTTGTCCTCAATGAAGTGGTGTTTTCAGAGTTGTGGAGTGGGTACTAGCTTTGGGAAGACAAAAGATATGACATTTGCAAAGGTAGGAAATTGACACACACTTGTCTTGCAGGATATGTATAACTGAAAAATCTGCTATGATATAAGTTATTAAATCTATTAGGTTTCTTATTTTTATAACATATAATTCTGTTATTGTCCAGATCTTTATCTTAAGGACTTACAAAGTAAGATGGTTGGCTGAAGTTTCTTGAAAAGAGGATTAATTTTGGGAATATAAAAGTTCTGATATTTCCAAGGGCAGAAAATCAGCACAGAATTATCTTGTAAGATTTGCTTAATTGTGAAAATATTTTGTAATGTGTTGCATGTTTGGACAAGTTGTGCATCATCAAAAGGATTTGATACATATTGTCACTTTTGTTCTTCCTTTCATTGAGTTATTTTAATTAGTAAGAATGATTTGATTCTGTTTTGTGCAACCCTATAAAAACAAGATCATAGGCTATAGATGTTACATTTTCATTTATTTTCTCTGTTCGGGAAAAATGTGATTTTCCATTCTTGACTTGGATTGGTATATAATAAATGCAAAATATTGGACCTTAATGATTGAAAAATTATAGGTGTTAAACGATGTAAGACCTCGTGAACATGAAAAAGGCACAGGTAGTATTGTTCAGTACTTCATATTAGCTTGAATTTTTTTTTTTTTCAAATCACAGAACGGCTACAAGAGATGACGATGTTGGGTTAAAAATTTGATAAATGAATATTGTCGTTTAGTTTGTTCCTTAGCTCTTCTCTCAGTGAAGATATAACTAACAACATTTGTTTACAGGGAAGTCTTTTTTAACCTGTGATAAACATTTTTCTGGGTAGTAGTGTACTCATTTTTTGAATTGATCTTTTTGTTTGGTGAAAATATTAATTATGTTGTGTCTAAATCTCAGAATTAGATATGTGAAGTTAATGCATCATGTGCATTGCACCAGGTAGCCCGTGCTAGTTGAATTATTAAAAAAGTACAGACAAATCAAATTGGAGGGGTGTTTTCTCAGTATAATTAAATTATAAATGATAAAAATAATAATATAAAAATACAAAAAATGAAGGACTGAGTCATAAATAAGTTTAAAGTTTAAAAACTGCGTCACATCAAGTCATAATTAAGAAAACTAAATTATAAATGAGTTAAATCAATGAGAAAAAAATTAACTCTTAAATTTTTTTTTTGGTTACACAAATGTGTTGAAATCTATAAATAATCCTAGGAAAACATATGAGTATGAATTGATGTTATCCTCCGCCATCAAAAAATAAAAAGTCAATATAAATTTGTGTCTCTCAAGTTTGTTTTTATTCTGATTTTGGTTTTTTTAAATTTTAAATTATATATTTTAGTTCCTCAAGTTTCTTTTCATAAAAAATATTGATCCCTATAATTCAATAAGAATCTGAACGATTTTATTTTTTGAGGGACCAAAATATATAGTTTAAAACTTAAAAAATTAAAACTAAATGAAAACAAACTTAAAGCAACAAAAATTATATTAACCCAAAAATAAATTATAACTTGTGGAGTTCAAATTTTTATGTAGAGTAAACACATTTCTTTTTATAGAACCAAATACATTTCTTTTTTGGTATGAGTTAGGGTATCCTCAAGTATAAGTGCACTTCTTAAGATTTAAATTTTTGTTCTTCTTTTTACATGATGAGACTGCTTACCATTTCAACCTGACATATTTTTATTGCTTTCACATCATGTATCCTAGGCTAGCCCCTATTCACAGGGCACTCAATGGACCCAAACTAATTCGGATTTGGGCTTTGTCGGCCTTGTATGAGGGAGACTTTGGCCTCTTATGCTGCTGCATTCCTACATCTCAAACTCGAAACCTGTTGTTAAGCTAGAACAACTTCGACTAGTTGATCTAGGCACTTGGAGTTTTTCAACCTGACATGTTTTTAGTAAACCAAATACATTTTTGATATACTGTACATGATATGAGAAGTTGATTGGGCAGTCCATAATTTATAAATGATGCCACTAATTAAAAATTTTATGACCTTTACTTTATATATATTTATTGAAGAAAAAATTACATCAAAAGGGGAATATCCTTTGACAAAAAAAGATGTGATCGTGATATAGTAGATTAAATTTCAAAAAATGTTAACTTTTTATCTAACATTTTTGTATGCCTATTTTTCATTATTAACAGGGACAATGACAAAAAAAAACTGGAAATTTGAAAATACCAAATAAGAAATGTCAACAAAAATTTGTTGTCATTTACAAATTTAGACTTGTTAATATCAAATAAAATTATGTTAACAAACCTGATTTGGGATTTACAATTTCTAACTTATTTTCCTGTCATTCTTCCTTATTAGTAGGTGTTTCCATTTAATTTTCATGTCATTTACAATTCTATGATAAATTTGAGCGCTATCTGGGAGTTTCCGTTAGGAAAAAAAATCAACGTCCCTGTCCTGCCAAGGGGCATAGATCACAGAACAAGACAGTCACTCTTAGTTTATACATCAATCTATGTTATTTTACTAATTCATACAAAAATATGCTGTCGCACAAAAATTTCTATAAGAGCCAATATCAAAATTAACATAAAACCAATTTTTTAAGAATCAGTGTTCCACTGTTTTAAATCAATGTCAAACCAACGTGACATCTATAGATTCTTTTAAATTAATGATGATCTAAGGTAGCCAACGATGTTTTTTGCCTCTCACTCAACTTCACCCAGCTCCACATGACAGATGATCCCAACCAAATTTGGCTGGTTAGACTTTTTACAATCTTAATCCGTTCTTTTTTGCCCGTTTTCCATTCCAATTTTTTTTTTAAAAAAAATGAATACTACTAGTGAAAAAATGCATGTTAAGAAAGCTACTCTTATCTGAATAATTGTAAAAACAGGTCATTGCGCTTTTTTAACAACTCAACATTATGTAGCTATCATACTATATATTTGCCCTACTTCCAATTGAAAAGTCCATAACATCATCCCATGACAGGAGAGTGCATGAAGTACAAGATCATAATTCACTAAATAAACAATTACTACGCCAATGAGAAATTCGATTCAACCTAAGCGGACTTTAGTTAGAGGACGACACAAAAATTAAGCTAAGCTGGCGTCTTCATATTAATTTAGCCAGGAGAATGAAAGAAACTATATATTATATACAGTAACAGACAGACTCACTGCCTTCCGGATGATGAAGTTCCAAGAATAAATGCAGAATTCAGAAGCCTCCGGACACGCGAAGCTGCAAACAAGGGAGAAAATGTCAGGAAGGCGTGGGAAGAAGACCCTCTCTCCATTTGAATTTGTTAAGACGAAAACAAGAGACGCCTAGGCACCGGGAATTCACCAGAAAAGTAAACCATTAAAAGAAAAAGGAAAAAAAAAAAACCTATCACCTTTCACGCAGTCGCCAACAATATGTCCTAATATTAATCTTTTAAGAAGAGAACTCAAGTGACAATGAAGCTCACCAGTTTGAACTTTGAGTTGATAATAATGGGGTTAGCGCCAATACTGAGCCCAGCGATGAATGGTCTCAACCATCTGAGGAAACAATGCACTAACACTCTCATTGATAAGATCCTGGAAAAAATGTATACTAGCTTCATCGTCCAAGTCTAACCGAAACTTCTCCTGAAGCTGTATAGCAACAGAATTCTAAATACTGTCAGAAACCAAAGAGCATTTTTGACAGCGTGATGTTTGAGCAAGAATGAGCTTACCTTCAGAATTCCTTTTTCAGGATCAGAAGCAATGTCAGGAATATTGGAACTCGCCATTAAATAAAATAAGTTCAAAATTAGGTTACTAGATTTGCGAAGAATGTTGTATGCTTCACAACAATAGGACTTGAACCTTGTATAATATTGGCTGCGGGGAGAGAAAGTAATCAACAATACACTTTTTAACCAAACACATGATGCAATCACCATCTTGAATCTAAAATGAATAATCTTAATGTGGGCTTTACCTCTCAGCTCCCCCCATGGCCTCAACCATTTCCTTGCAAAGCTTCATTGGAGGTGGAAATGGCTTAGGATCTCGCCCGAGAATGAAGCCAAAATCAACATGGAAAAGACGTCCATCATCTCTAAGGAGGAGGTTGTCTAAATGCCTATCAATCAAAATAAACTCAAAACGATTCACTTCAAGTGGGAAAGCAAACAAATTTCAAAATTATTTAGGTTCAGTAACATTAGAGAATCTACCTGAGCCTTCTCAACTGAAATTTGGGGAAGGAATCTTATATTCCATGTTTTCAATTTGTTGAACAATATAAATGGCAATAGCAATTTGCATAAAAAAAATAAATAAATATATAAATGGCAATAGCAATTGATATATAAAAGATAGAGAAAATTACATCTGAGGACATAGACTTCGTCAATTATATATCAAAGGACCAAATTTTAGGAAAGATACAACTTTTAAAACTGAGTGGTAACTTTGGTCATCGGAAATAATAGCAATTTTTAAGATTCTGTGCTCTAAATTTACAAAATCTAAGTCCTTAAATGTGATTTCCCCCGAGCCTCTTTGAATTTTTACCTAAACTTCTTTTAGGAAAGTAGTGCAACTTTCTCAAAACCGAGTATTAACTTTGGTCATTAAAAAGAATTATATATATATTTCAAATTCTAAGCAGTAAACCCTAATTGTAAATTGAAAACCTTGTTACCCAAAGAACAAAAAATTGAAACCCTAATAAGAAGTGTTTGCATCACAAAGAAAAACAAGATTGGAGTATTTAAAGGATTATGGTAAACTATTCTAGATGGAAAGTAATATGATTGGACTGAAATTAACAATCACCTGTCTCCAATCCCAAGTATATATGTGATGACAGAGTAGCCAGCACAGCTTTTAATAAATGTTTCAAGACAGGCAGCTGTAATGCCAAAAGGACCTTGGTCATCAGGATGAAACTTCTGCAAATAGCTTATAATACTACGATGCTCTGACAGGATCTAGAATGAAAGGACTATATATTAGTTTGGGAATAGAAAGAACGTAATTCTACAACCAATGGAACCAATTATTAAACACCAGAATCATAGTTTTGCAAATAACAATAAAAGGTGGGGAACAAAACTTGTTTAAGACAATAATAAAATCCAAGACAAACACAAGTATAATGATGGATCAAGATAGAACACAATTTCTAGTGATAGATGTTGCATATATCTAAATATCAATATAAAAGAGTAAAAATTTCAAACAACCTGTGACAGAAAGATAAAGAAGCTTCTGCACACCACTACAAGAATTCAAAAATCGTACCTGTGCCAATGAACGAGATGGAATGAATTCCAACATGCCTTCATCTTGTCCAGTTGCAAGAACTTTGTATGGCGTTAAGTGCAGATCAAGATTTTCTAACTTTAGCAATCGATCCATGAGTGAAACCATTTGAACAACCTAGAAAAAGGAGACGTTAAACCAAACTAACTTCTTTTTTTCCCTTAAATATTCATCTCCACACACGTGGGAGAAAGAGCAAGAGTCTGTATGATTACCAACTGGTCCTGCCGAATATCATCACCCTTTTTAAACATGATTTTACAAGTACCCCCATTTGCTGTTCTAAAGGTAAGTCGCAAAGGATGCAATGCGCTCTTAAATATTGATGACTCTGATGGTATTATCCCAGTGATGAGGACATTCGGTGCCAAGGGTGAACGTATAGGCTACAATCAAAAGAGCACCCCGATATTTGTTTGATAACATAACTTGAGGAACTGTCTAAAATTCAATTGACATAAAAAAGAGTGTGGATTAAATCAAGAGACTAAAATTACACGAGTTTCCTGGTGACATATCATTCAACTATGGAAAAAAGAATGTTTAGAAAATGATAACAACAAAGAGAATCATGTTAAGGATATACCTCCTCAAAATAGGTAAGTTCACTAAAAATCCCAGAAAGTACTTCTCTAAGCTTTTCAATCTTCTTTTGGGTATTGCCACGGGTACCTCTTACTTCTCTTGAGACTGAACACAACTGAGCAGTTAATTCTGTCTGACGCACCAAACTATGCCACAATTTAATCCCATCCTCCTCTCCATTCACACCAATAGCCGCCTATTTCAAAGAAAATGTCATCAATGAACTCCAGAATGAACGAATTCTAACTCAGACCAGCATTTTCCATCACCGTTAATAGCTTAAAAATATCACCAAGAAGATCAATATGTTGCAAGGATAGTGTTAACTGGACTCCTTTAAGCCACCCCCACCCCACCCCACCCCAAAAAAGAAGAAGAAGAAGAAGAGGTTCTGTGATGTCTAATTGACTTTCTGATTTCATTATATTTTTATATTTTTTAGTAAAAGCATATCTGCTGGCATCTCCAAGCTCTACATTTTGAAATCAATTTATTAAAGAAAACTCACTTATTCAGGGAATAAGAAAAAACTTCAGATACATTGAAAAAAAACAAAAGGTTTCACATAATCCTAGGCCTCTAGTGAAAGGATATTGGAACAGCAAAGAAGCAGAAACGGCTTTGCTATTATGTCGAACTTGCAAATGAAGAGAGAGGAGGAAAAGGAAGAAGATATCAAGCAGCTTAACATGATAATAAGCATGATGGAATGCACTGAAATTTGGAAAGTGAAAATTATTACAACAAATACAAAGATACTAATAATTCATACAAGGCCACACCTTCAGCATATTCTCCTCCAGAATCTCATATGTGCAATAAAACCGTTTGGCGTATACAGGATCGAAGACTTCAGTAGTTACATACCAGCGAAGAAAGCTGGCCAATTCAATATTGCGTAATGCTGTTGAAGTTTAAGTAAGGCTCACTTCAGCCGAGAAGCTATAAGATAAAAGAAACACTTGAGCTTACTCTAAGGGCCTCATGCACATACCACGCTCAACAAGGAAATGACAAAGGCAAGATTTATCAGAGCGCTCAAATCGAAGAGCCTGAACCAATTGAAGCAAGTAACACTGAAGCTCTTCATCATCAGCTCTTCCAAGAACACTAACTGCATAAGCACGGACCTGAAAAGTAGTAGTAGAGTAAGGCCTGATACCAATAAAACAAAAGGTTGTAATTATGTTGTAATGCATCTATGCTAGCACCAGAAGAAGTGGGCGCATTGGCATTTCAAGTTTAACAAACACTTGATTAGGTGGCAGCATTACATGCATGTCCTTACATTAATAAGCATTCAATTAATATTGAGGATAAAACAGTATAAGTTTAGATATGTCAGGGACTAGTGTGAAAATAAGGCCCATGAAGGGTTTGGCATATATCTCCTAAGTGAAAGCCCTTTGGGCTTGAAATGAGGACAAAGCACAAGATTATCTTAATGGTACAAGGACATAAAGTTAGAGGCTGCAAGAATCAAAGTCTTCAGTCTTGATTGATTGTTTAAAGAGGCTTTGCTATTATGTCAAGGATCAAGAGCATGGATGAACTGGTCTCTTGCATGAAAGACTAAAATCTCCTCCACTCTAGGGTAGCTTCCAAATCCCTGTTCTAGCAATCTTACCAGCATTTGTTCACCCATGATTGTTCTAAGAAAGAGACTTAACATCTTTGAATGGTTATCATCACTGAAATACAAAGCAAAAGGTCACCTATAGCATGAGACCACTAGCCCGTGTGAAATGGATGAATCATTAGAAGCCCAAGCAAGCATAAACAGATTCAATTTTTTTTTTTCCCCAACAGCAAAGCACTGTTGCTTCGCAAATTGTGCAGTACAACAGGTCAATTATGGCTGAACAACTTCCGACAAGTGAAAATATCCAAAATCATCCACTACTATGGAGATCCCATTTCCTTAGTAGCACTTGTAAAAATCTATGCTATATAAATGTAAAATATACCTCAGATTACTGTCAACCCAACTGCCAGAGTCACAAGCTTTAGTAGCAATTTTTTTCTAAAATTATATTAACTGTAAAAAACCTGAGATTACTGCTAATTTAATTGCCAGAATCCCAAAGCCTTGCTGTGGGCAAAATTCAGCCTACCCAGCTAAAGCTCTCGTATTGCTATAGTTCATAATTTTGATTACTAGCAATTAGAAATCTTAATACATATGGTCAATCAAAGAAAGGTAACATGGGCGTAACTACTAGAGCATATGTAAGGAGTCATTCTAAGTTTGTGATAGTAGCCGGTAAAATTTAACATTACACCAGGAAATGACAGAGAAAAGGCGGCTAAACATGTGCAACGGTTTTTTAAATCAGAGGTAATATGGACGTGCCGACCAGAGCATAAGTAAGAATTAAGTCTAGGTTTGAGATGGTACTCCTTAAAATTTACCATTGCACCACGAAAGACAAAAAGCCACTTAATATTTTAACAACATTTAGGAAAGAAAACATAGCTCTGCACTAAAATATGCATCCAAATTACCTCTTCACTTTCAAAAACAGGAGATAAGAGTTCCAGCGCATCACAGACATCAATCATTTCCCATTTTCCCATCAGTTCCAGAGCTTGTTTTGCTTCCTGTGGTCAAATGAACATTACAAAGTAATAATGTTATCACAATCTTATTAACACAAAGAAATAAAGATAACAAGGAAGGAGAATAAGAGATAACAAGATGACCATTTAAGTAACTCAAATCAATTAAAAGATAAATTCAAAGCATGTGATTAGTTGGACGTTAAACTTTCAGCCAAACTAAGATAATTACAATGCATTTATATGTAAAATAACAAGAAACCGGAAAACAGTTAATATATGAAGGGAAGGGAGACAAAAAACATCCATAGGTCTCAAACATATCCAGTACCCAGTAGCACCCCAAATTCATGTTTCCAATTCCATGTAAATGACCATGGCCATCCTCATATATATCCTTTCAAAAGAAAAGAAAAAACGCCTCTATATAAACATCAGTAGTTCTAACATTCTCAAAAAGCAAAAAGTTCCATGCTGGAAATCCTTGGAATTAATATTTGACTTTTGCAGAAGTGTGCCTCAGACTTCCCAACTCTCAATACAGGAAGTAGACCTTCTACTTTACAAAGTACAACAAAAGCATCCCATCAATATTTTTATGAAAACCAAGGTAGTATGAGATTCCTACACCCACAAGGAGCAGTATAATCTACTCTATGGGGCACTTAAATTGGGGTACTATCACCTTATTAGTTAGTTTATGAGGGAGGCTTCCACACCGCACTTTAATGCCTATCATATTTACAATTTAATATTTTGCCATTGAAAAACTTAAGCTGGATAGGGAATGCACCGTTTCCAAGTTACTGTAACTAGTCATGATAAAATAATTCATCCAAATATCATCTATTGCTTAACTTCTAAGATTAAATTAGGCTGACCTGGACGTCACTCCATTCCACACAACGAAGGAACTTTGTGAGAGCCTTCTTTTCAGACATCAAAGAGAAACGAAATTTCCATAAGAGCTGCCTCTCATCTCCACTCAATGTTCTGGTTGGAGGGTATTTTAATATTCTCTGTATGGACCTTGGCATTAAGGAGAAAGGAAATTTAGGAACAGTCAGATAATGCAACTATAAGCCAGAAATATTGAACAAGTATGTCAGTGAGAAAGGGAAGAAAATATTTGTTCAAATTATATTCAAAAGAGAAAAACAAAAAAAGTACATAAAAAAAGATTCAGCACATATGAGCTACACAAATTCCGTTGATGCTATGACTTCCTTCCCAGTTTTCCTATTGTAACAAAGACAAGAACATCCCATATGTTTTTCTTCACCGACATTTTGAAAGGCAAATAAATGTTCAATTATCTAACAGCATATGACTAAATACTTTAGAACAATACTGACCAAGGGCTCTTAGCTGCAGTTATGTAATGCCATTTCTACTACCTTAGAGAATGATCATCTTCAGGATTTTGGAAAGAAAATCAAACTCCCAAGACAATTACCAAAAGCATAATATTGAGCAACAAAACAACCCCACTTAATTCCAAAACCATTTATTTATAATAGACATATTGCAGAAAACGCACACGGTAGTGAAATGTCATCAACATTTTAATTGATTTCTCTTCCTCATTTGATAAACATTGCACCCAGATGAGAATATGCAGATCTATGGACTAATAATGATGAATCTGGATCTCAAAAATCATCAACAAATCCATATCCTTTTCCATGATCAAAAAATTCATGCAGCAGAAGCATTTTAGGTCCTACATAAAAATGCTCATCAATTACAAGGATTGACATTGCAATGAGAATGAAGTTACGGTTTGAACATGATAAATCATAAAGCACTCAACCTAGAGCTAAGAATCCTATTTAAAGAAGAAAAACAACATATCTGGTCATAGTTGTCATCATTATATCAGAAACAAAAGTCAAAGCATACTTCCTCTCATTTGAGCTTGGCTTCAGATCTCTATCTATGACACCACGAGTCAAGCTCCTAGCCAGCTTTAATTGCTTATGCTCAGAGGGATTTATCTTTCCCATTTCTGGGTCCCAGACAATAACAATATCATTGGTTGAAGCTATAGGGGATGGCAATAAAAAATTTGCGCCCGATTCCTACATTTAAACACAGAGTTATTACATATGAAGAATCTGAATAAAGGCGCCGTGCATTTTTCTTTCCTTTTCTTTTTTTTTGGGGGGGGGGGGGCTGTACTGCTTGTCACACACATATCTATGCACCAGTGGATAAAATATCCCTCAACTTAGAGGTCTATGTTAGAGCAAATTACTGCCTGCATACAAACTCGTGAGATTCAAAGAAAATGAGACAGTGATACCTGAAAAACGACTCGATGCTCAAAACTACAGAAATCCACAACCAAGTACAAATGAGAGCTTCCATTTTGTAAGCTTTCACGTTCCTTAATTTTTTCCATACTTTTGAATGTGAGGCGGTCCAGCCAGTCAACAGGGTGTATCTGACCTCGCTCATATTTGTTTTCCAGCTTGTCCAAACGCTCCAACTCCCCACGCTCGTGCCTAGGGACCTAATGAGAACAAGAGTGAAAAATATGAAACAATGAAATACAACATCTTAGATAACTGAGAACCAGTTATTTTAAACCTTTCCAGGAGTGCTAGTAGGATATGTTCCATCTGCCTCTTTTCCTGCCCAAAGCCTAAGCTTTTGCTTCCCAGTTTTAAGTTGCTTTTTACTGTTAAAGAGAAGAATTGTGGCTCCTCCAATCAATCCTTCATCTTCGCCGTGTGAAACATCCCAAACCTGTTGATGCAAAATTATTACTAAAATAAGGTCATGTCTGACAAATTTTAAGTAAATTTTGAACATATTTATTAGAGAATAACTACTTAAAATAATGAAAATAAAATCTCAAATAATCATTGAAAAAATAAATATCAATTTACAGAATTTCTATTTGATTTTTGCCATTTATTTTTTTTTCAATCTTAGAAACTATATTTAAGGATTTGCGATTTTTGAGGTTTTTATGCAAGCTCTCAGGGTTCAACTTGATTAGAATTTGGTTTGATTCAGGACAAACATAGTTCTATGAAGTATGAGAATTAGATGTCAGAATTTTATTCACAATATTACCAAATTCTTCTAGCATCTCCTATATGAACAGGGTATCCATCCTTCGCATTTTAAAAAGGTTAAAGGTCATAGCATATTTCCAAAGGTATTCTCTCTCTCACACACACACACTCTCTCATAGTTTACCTCCCCCCCATCTTCCTGTGGGATTCAAGAAAAAACCCCGCCGGACTCCAGTCCTTGCCCCAATTCAAAGAGGGACACAGAAAATACAATAGAATACTGCTACTAGACAGTTAGATAACCAAAATTTTGAATAAATGCTTGAAGAAAGACAAGAACAGCAACAAGCTTTACTCCACTAGATTTGGCTACATAGATTGCACAAGGCCATTGTGCTCTATCAATAATCAAATCTCTGAATAAATTATTAACCAAAAAATCCCGTTCAATAATTTCACTAAATATTTACAGTAAAAGCAATGTAAACATATAAATTGAAATTGAAAACTTACAGTAAAAGCAAGCTGTGACTGAACAGTTAAATCCCGATATTTAGTGTCAATGTGATGAGCTCATTCCAACAATAGGATGATCCTGTAGATTCCAACCTTCACCAAATGATTTGAGTTTATTAAGTTCTGTGGAGATAGGATAAAGTCAACATAAAACTGTCATATGGCTGTACAGTAAGGATCATTCTTAATCAAGTAAAGGAAAACATGCCAGTGAGTTGATAGCTCACATGGCACCAGCCTCAGCCATTATGATTGAGCCAAATTTGATGCCAAGGGTCTGATCGCTACCCATGCCCCTCCCTTTCCCAACTCCCAAGCCCTCAAACCTCCTTTTTGAGCGGATAAAAAGAAACAAAGGAAAACATCGTAAAAATATAATAAACATGAGCCATCTTTCAAGGGATAAGGCTTTTGCAGTCCTACCAGTTCAAAACCCATAGGCATGATGAAGAAATTAATTAGCAAGGAAAGGGAAAGTCCAGGAAAGAGAAAAATCCCATGAAATTTGTATTTAGGCCCTTTACTTTCAAAAAGTAACCATTAAGGTTAGAATGCAAAGAACTCCAAACTAAAATGAAAAGAAAATCACAGAAATATATAAGAAAAATATATCCAAAATCATTATTCAATCAGAATGTCAATTCTTCAAGATCCAAGGTCAACAACCATGGACCACAACCTAATATATGCCCTTCAGTTGACCAGATTTAATATCTATTGGCACAAAATATCTAAAATTTCAATTATATAGAAACCTTGTTCTTGTGGGAAGGCCAAACTGTGCACCATCGATGTACAATGCACATTCAACATATAATTCTTGCCTTCTATCCTCTTCTGGGGTTCCGTTCTCTGCACAGAAAATTTTTTATGAAGGAAGAAATTTTATTTGAAACTTCTCATGGGAAAATGAACATAGCTATAAGCAGAAAATGTATACTTAAGAATAATCAAAGAAAAACACTTTTAGCGCTCAGTGCATTGCCCTAGTGACATGCTCCCAAGTAAGGTGGAGTTTGCGGGTTCAATTGTAGGGCTGGTTTAGCCCCCTTAAAATCAAAAAAGAAAAACAGTTTTCCATACTGATAATATAATTTAAGATTATGTTATATCATTACGGTTACAGTCATCAAGTTCAAAAAGTCACTGATTGGTTAGAGGAATGTCGATTTATATTGCCAAAATCCGCACAGCCACATTAACGAACGGATTATGATCAATAAGAGCTCAAACTGAACTTAAGACATGGTGAGACTAACACTTTCTTTTGTGAGAACGGGAATTGTGCATGAATACGTACATACGAATACACATATACCAGTAGCTCCCACACTAGAAAGCTAGTCAGTTCTAAAATATCAATTCCTGCCAATCCACAAACAATCAACTATTAAAACGCGATACAGTGCAGGCATTAATATTCAATTGTCCAATGCTCACGATTAAAGAAATTCTTACAGCACCCCAATTTGGACTACGAAGTGAAAACACCATGAATCGAAATAATCGAATCTCAACTCTGGCGTGACAGCAACACAGTAAAGGTACAGACATGACAGCTTAGGAGAGAAAAACCTACCTGAATTGGAGGACTTTCGAGGGGTAAGATTGCCTTCAAGCCGCTCAACCCGGAAGGTTACTGGAAGATTGATATCGCATGATAAGAAGAAGCGAAATTCGTTGCCTGTCATGTGCACTGTCTTCTGCTTTTTCTCCTGCTTGTAGGGTTTAGAAGTTGTAAATGATCACAGTTAGAGTTGTGGAAGACTTCGTGATCGTCAAAACAAAATCTTCGACTGAAGGTAACAGGAATAACGGATTCCGTACCTACGAGGACGATTTATCCTTCCGGTACAACTGCGCATCGGTGGGAGGAGCAACCAAGCAAGCCAGAGACGTCACGGGGGGTCAACTGACAAAGCAAGGTTTTTTTTTTTTTTTTTGAAAAAAGTTAGAGTGTACAATGATAAAAATTACTTGATCCAGTGATTTTTTTTGTTTTAAAAATTACTCCTTTTAATTTATATTTTGATGAAGAAAATGAATTTTTCAAAAACAACATAATAAAAAAAATAGGTAGAAGTTTTTTTTTTTTAACAAAATGTGGAAGCATATTTAACTTTGAAAAAAAGACAATAAAATAACCTCAAAAATATAAAAGACAAATTAAAGTGGGTGAGTTTTTTTTTTTAACTTTTCGTCCGTGAGTTCAGCTAGTGAAAGGGTCACACACTCTCACCAAAGGAGAGGGTTCAATCCCAGAGTGCCACTTTACTGTGGTTCCAGTCACAACACTAGGGAAGGCATCACCACAACTAAGTGGAAGCAACCTCTTTTGGGACTAATTCCCATGTGGTTAATGCCTTTAGCTGGGGGGAGGTGGAGGCATGTGTACTTCCTGCCTGTCCGTAAAGTCATGGAAACATAGTTAGGTGTCCCTACTTAGATCATGGGTGAGCCTGACCCTTTTTCTAAAATTTTTTCACCAAAAAAAAAGTGGGTGAGTTTTAAACTTACAAATCAAATTCCTTGTCCTATTTTAAAATTTTAAAATATTATATAATAACAACATTACTCTTACTCCTAGTGATTACTTTCGCATAGTTATTGACTACCTTTGTTTTGACTACTTTGGTTGACTACAAAAGAATAGTAAATAACTACACAAAAAGTAGTCACTAATCCTTAACAACACTTAATATATTTTTTTTAATTTTTAAAACAAAAGTAGTCAATTGTAAAACCAGAGTAGTCAATAACTAAATAAGAGCAGTAACCAAATTTTTAAAAATAAAAGTAGTCAATCACAATACTAAAATAATTAATAGCTAAACAAGAGTAATTATCAGAGTTCTAAAAACAAATAGAGTAATAATTAAAAAAGAATAATTAATAATAAGAAACACATGTCATCAGCAAGGTTGCCGTCGCCAAAGCTCTGGTGGCCGAAAACCGACAAGGGTGCTATAGTGACAATATTAAAAAAAAAAATAGTGAAAGGCATTTATGTAATTAGCAAGATTGGAAAATTCTAAAGTAGTATTAAATCTAATTATGATTTTAAAATTTACCTACACTGGTTTGTCTTTAACAATTTCTAAGATATTTTATTATCTTTCTTCCTTTAACTTTTTAAGTCCTTTTCATTTTACCCTCAGTTTTATTTTTGGTTTTTTGATTTGATTTTGTCAAGTTTCTTTCTAGTCTTTTAATTGTAACAAATAAAATCATAAGAACAATTGTTTACATAATTTTGTAATCAAACTTAAAAAAGAATCCTTCATTTGAATGATAATCTAGTAAAAATAATCTAAATATTAAGTTTCTATGCGTGTTGGTTTTTAGGAGGTCATAGCATTTATTTTTGGTCAAGGATCACAGCATTCCAATGTTATTGGATGCAACATGTTATAGAAAGCTTGTAGATACCAAAGAGGAAAAAAATTAGAATACACTTAGAAATTTTATATATAGATCCACCAAAGAAAAATACTTGAATACAATATACTTTTCCGGTCCTTAATATATGACTAATTGTTGAGTTAACTTTAGTTTTAAATATAAGACATATTTTTCATATTTATCAATTTTTTTTTCTAAATTATCCATATAATACTCTTTCACCTATAATCAAATAAAAAGAAGTGAAGATATTAAGAAATGATTATGGTTTTAAAAAAAATGTCATATTTCTTATAATTAACTAACTTACCTAACTTCTTTAATTTAATCAAATTAATTAAATAGATTTTATATTAAGGATTGGAAGAATACATATCACACCAAATTTATATCCTGACATGAGTATGCGTTTGTTTTTTTTTTTCCAAGCTAAGAATAACTTCATACAATAGCTTGAGGACAAGAAGAAAGTAAAAATTTTGGGGCAATGACTAGTTATAGTTATGAGGATTATTAAAAAATGGTGGATAAATTAGAAATAAAAATGATATTTATGAAATCAAGGTCTCCTGTGAAACTTGGAAAAATCCGGGGCTCTGCGTTGCATGAATGCTGTCTTTCCCTCGCTGGCTTCCTCAGTGCCATAAAATATGAGTGTTGCGTTTCCACCAAGCTCCTGCAATTTCACATGAACACAAATTAAACAGTACTACCTCTGATCCTAATATAAAGTTAGTTGACTAATTTGAGAAAATTAAAAAAGTTAAGTGAGTTATTTGTAATGAATAAATGTTATCTTTCTTAAAATATCCTTGCTAATCAAGTGTATTGGTTAGAATTATCATTATTAGAAGGATTTCCTTGGGAAAAAAAACATAAATATGAGAGATAAAATGAATTAGAATCTATATTTAGGATCAAAATAAAAGTCAAACGAGGTCTTATATTAAGAAACGAAGCTAGTATTACTTACATATGATCCAAAGTCAAAGCTGCACATGTTGCAATAATTTGTATAGCAAAATCCTAATAATCTCTGTAAAATTCGGTATGTTTTTACATTTGTCATCTCTATTTTCATCTCTGTATACAACTATTACCACATCCTGTACTTAATATAGAAGCTAATTAAAAATTAAAGGAGTGTTTGAATAAAAACCAAATAATGATTTTACGATATATGAAGTAAGTATGTGAGAGGAATCTTGAAAACACTTTTCTTAAGTGCTTTTTGGGTAAACCAAATGCTCGTCAGTATAAAACCTCAGTATGTTTTGTCCCTATAGCTATCATTTTCTTTTCCCAAACTATCCTTGCAGGAAATATGCATCAAATGGTAGTTTTTATGCAAATGACTTAAGAGAGTGTTCTCGGAAAACCAACACATATCTTTAACAAATAATTAAGGGAAAATTAGTCTTTTGGCCCTTCAACTATTGACTCACTTGTAACTCAGACCCTCAACAATAACTCACTATGACTCAGTCCTTAAATTTTTGACTAGCCTATAACTCAGTCTTTAAATTTTCCATATTTAATAATTTAATCCTTATTATACATAATTTATCTTAAACATAAAATAATTATCCTACATGGCAAAAAAATTACTCTTAACACAATTAAAAATTGCAAACATGTCATCCAAGTCAGCTTATACGCATTTGATGAATTTTTTAAGGAAACAAAAGACCGTCCGGTGGAATCAACTCATCGTCCTCTCCTTTTTCCTCACCTTTTGAGAACCATGTCCACTTCTTCACTGACATTCTCTAATCTCTTCTTCCTCCACGCCTTTCCAGAGACAAACATGCTCTATCTTCTTCCTTATCCCTCCACACATTTCTCCTCCCAGTGATCCTCACTCAGCCTGCAGCGCTCTCGAGTTTGAGCGACCCTTTGATTCAGGTGCATAAGCTGGGGGAGGTGTGGCCTATTAAAATTTGCACATTTGCCACTGTGATTCTAAAGGCGATAAAAGAACAAAACAGTTGGATCATCCCTCAACCTCCTCATATACATAGCGGGAGGACAAATGTGTGGAGGGGGTTATGAGGAAGAAATGAAACGAGGAAGAAGACAAAGCATGTGCGTCTCTGTGAGGAGAAAGGAGAGGACGATGTCCACCAAATGGCTTTTTTTTTGGGTAACAGACCAGATGGTTTTTCAATAGTGAAGTAATTTTTTCTGCCATGTAGGATAATTATTTTATGTTTAAAAAGAAATTATGTATGATATGAATTAAATTATTAAATATGAAAAGTTCAAAGACTGAGTTATAGGCGAGTTAAAAGTTCAAGGATTGAGTTATACCGAGTCATAGTTAAGGAACTGAGTTATAAGTGAGTTAATAGTTGAATGACCAAAAGATTAATTTTTCTAATAATTAATTTAACTAGTTTTTTTAATTTATCCAAATCAGTTGAGTAGACGTTATGCTAAGAATCGTAGTAATTTGTATGAATATGTATATGTATATAGAGGGCTTAGATGCATGGAATGTTGAAATCTTGAATCACTCTATATATATACCTGAAGTCCAGCATGGCCATCATCCACTGCGTTAAGAGCTGATTTGAGAACTCGGATTGCAGTTGGGCTGTTCCTCAGAATCTCTCGACACCATTTTACTGTCTCTTTCTCCAAGTTCTCTAACTGTACCAAAATCCAAACATTACATAATCACTGAGAGTTTCAGGCTGGGGTCAGAGAGCAATCTGTATTATTGCAGTGTCAAGAACTCATTAAACAGATGAAATTTAACTCACAGGTACAACAGTGTTTACAAGTCCCATTTTATCTGCTTCAGCAGCAGTATAAAACCTAGTGAGAAACCACATTTCACGTGCTTTTTTGGGCCCCACCTGTAGAAAGATTCAATTTTTTTCCTTAAATCTTGAATCCAAACGTGATATTCTGTAAATATTTAGTATTTGATGCTTACCAGACGTGACATGATGGAACTTCCATAACCAGCATCAAAGCTTCCTACCTGCCTTGTGCACAGAAACAGAAAAACACTATAAACTCATGAAGTTGTCTCTCTATTAAGAGCAACGAATTTCTGTATTCTCCTTATAACAGACCATATCCTCTTATCTACATGTTTTGTGTACGATTGAACCTGGAGTTATCTATCATAAGAATTAGCTTAAGCCACTTAATTAGGACTCCTTACAAGCCTTTATCCCCCCCCCCCCATTTCTGTTAGATGTTGGACTTTCTATAATAGATGCTTGATCACTTTTAGATATATGATACAAACTGTGTCCTAAATGAAGAGGGAAATGATATAAGCACCTTAGGACCAGTTTGGCCAAGTATAGCATTATCTGCTGCGATAGTTAGATCACAGACCATATGCAATATATGTCCTCCTCCAATAGCATAACCTGCTACCTGTTTTTCAATGTCAGGAGAATGTTATACACCCAATAAGAATTACAAAAGAAATGAAAAAGTAGAAGTCATCTTGTTAGCAGAAGTTTTAGAAGGTTTAAATATCAAATTCACCAAAAGAAAACATAAATGCACGGGAGATATTAACCATAGCAATCACTGGTTTTGGAAGACGACGGATCTGCACCTGCAAGGGAAGAAAGAGTAAAGAAGAAGAATAAGGAAGGGATAAAAAGTTTTTTTTCGTAACATCATGATAAATACAGTTATCCATCGAGCAATCAAGTAATTTACCTGCAAATCTAACACATTAAGGCGGCTAATACTCTCGAAATCAGCATAACCATCTTTAGTTCTCAAATCCTGGTCACCACCACTACAGAATGCTTTGGTTCCCTATAATAATATATATACCATCAAGAAAAAAAGTCCACAATAGCTAATCTGAATATATAAGTAGTGAATCACGTGGAACAGGCTTGCACTTGAACTTCAGCGTTGTCACTTGTCAAGATGGAATCGGTGGGAAGTATAGAGACAAGATGGCTTCATCAACATGTGGATGGCAAACTAGTATAGGAGATAGCTGATATAACCTCATTTTGATCCCATGATACTTGTATAATACTCCAACATCATTCTAAAGATCCTGTTGTCTTCAATAAACTAATCCTAGCCATATGTGGTTGGGAATTAAGATTGAGTATTTCAAAAAGATCAAATTCATTGTTTATATTGTTACAAATACATGATTCACTTTATACGGACTTGTAAAGGAACGAATGGTTCTTCATATGGCGTGGTTCATGTTTGTATAACTGTGTGATTCATATAGTAAAGATATGATGGTTAGTTTTGAAAACACATTTGTTAGCACATCAGTCTTGCTAATATACATACATGAATCTGTATCTTTAAGGACAGTGTCTAATGACGTGACTCTGACAATTAATTCTCTCTATTCCGCCAATGTATGTGAGCCCACAAAGAGAAACAAAAAGCATTGTAATAAATGAGAAAGGAACAGTGAAGAAATATCTGGGTCTGATGGGCACCTTTCCCGTGAGAATGATGACCCCAACAGAGCTATCATCTCTGGCATCATTGAAAGCACGAATAAGCTCCTTAATGGTAAGGGGTCGGAAAGCATTCCTTCTCTCTGGCCTATTAATGGTAATCTGCAAGAGTTGGCCAGACACAATCAAAACGATGAAGCTTCAACAATGGAAAAAAAAAAAAAATAATTGCAAAAGGACTGGTTTAGAATTAAGAACCCACCTTTGCTATGGCTTCTCCTTCAGCCTTCTCATATATAATATCAGTGTATTCCTTGCCAGATTCATCAGAAGCGATCCTTCTCCAAACAACCTCATGAGAAGGAACTTCACCGTGAACCCTGTGGTAACTATCTTTCATGGAAGTATTACACAACCCCACTGCCCCATCTTGCGAAGATTGAAAGGGAACGAAATGTTTGGCTATGGAGGCCACCCTCCTCCTCATAGTGTCAAGGTCCTTCTCTGCCATTGGAACTCTGGCTCTGAGCCTCTAACCCTACTTGATTTGACTAGTTAAGAGCATTCAAAGATGAAAACGAAAGCTTTTAAATATTTGGAGGTTTATCGTTGAAAAATGGAACTTGGGATGGAAATGGAGACCCATTTGATTTCGCTAGTATTAAAGAGACGTTGAAGATGGTAGGCAACATAGTTTCTTGTCTCGGGGCGATTTGGATAAGATAAGGTGAGCTGAGACTGTAACAACTAGCACCAAGTTAGAGACAGTTAAGGGGCAGCTGACGCTTGACAACATCGAAGCGAAACGGTGCGTTCCATTGCCTTGCGTTTGCCCATTACCGCTGTGCTTCAGAAGCTCATTCCTCCGTTCCTTCGCCGATCGCTCACTGCGTCGAAATAAATAATTTCCGGAATTGCTAAAGCAAACGCATGAGGTTGAAAAGGAATGACATGTGATGGCTTGCTCTTTTTTTCCTCTTCGATAGAAGTTATGGGATTTTGAATTGTGGTTCGTGATGAATTTTGTTTAACAAGGCATAAAATTGGTTCTTTGTCATCAGTATAGACCCCAAAAAAAAGTCCAATCCCATTATCACCAAAAAAAAAAAAAAAAGAATCCAATCCCAAAAACTAACCTATTAAGAGAGAGAACAGAGCATCCTCAATTCTCCATAGGTAGCCCTTTCTGATTTGCCGAGTCTTAGTAAAAACACCAATGTTATGATCCTAAGCCTAAAGAAAGAGCTCAATTCTAAAATATTAGCTTGTTAGGAGGGAGAGCCTCTTCAACTTATAAAACCCACAACACTTGTGAAATTCTCTAATATGAAACTCATGACATTCTTTCTCATTATTTGAGTATTCAATCATTTTTAGGTCCGCAGAGGACCTCACATGTTTATGTACTTCTTGAATCTTTAAATGGCGCGGGATATACGTATTGAATCATTCAGGAATTCCTGAATTGGATTTTTTGCCTCCACCATGGAATTCGTTTCATGCATTAATCCTTAATGGAAGAAGTATTATTAAAATATGCACTTTTGAGCTCTGAAAGCTCAATGCAGACTACGTGATCTCATCTCCTAAAATCTATGAAGCTTTGTTGCCCAATAAATAGATGGCCAGCTCTTTAGGGTTTGAGAATGAAGTTAGTTCCTCTACATCGCTTCTGCTCATTCTGATGAATCCATCTTCTTCTGTTCCCTCCATTTACTCACTTCTCCTATGAACAAAAGCACCTCTAATGTTTACTTAACTGGGCTAAGCAGATTAATAAAGGCATATAAACTAGTTTTGTGGCCCACAGGCCTAGTTCTGAAATCATGAAGAGACAAAATACATGTTAGTACTCCCTCTGATTGTATTTGCAAGCTTCAAATTAGAAAATAGATGTGTTTTATTTTATAAACTTCAATTTAAATTTGTTTTAACATTTTTTTAAATATTGCCCTTAATTATTTTTCTCTTATCACATTTTCCAACACATTTTCTTTTATTTTTTTCTTATTTATTATAAAGGCATATATAAAAACAAAAATATATTTCTAACCTATTTATTTATTTTAACTAATTTTAGCTAATTATTCGTTATCTGTGAATTTAAAGTTTATAATAAAGATAGGAGGGAGTAGAATATAACCATGTCTGATGTCAGCTGTGTTTCTCTTTATTCATAGCCGGATTTGCTGGTTGTTCAACTTGTAAATTGTTCTGGAAGCTGATGTACATGAACTTTTTTTTCCCCATATATAGCATTATATTTTGTTCTTTTAACTTTGTTTAATACACCATAGCTCAGAATATGTCTAGATGATAATGATAATTTTTATTGCACAAACTGATACAAGCACGCGTATGGTAGTACCTCACACTCAGGCAATATGCCACAGGTACAGGGCTGCCATGCCCAATATTCTCGGCCTCTAGCTAAATGCAGGGCCATCAAACTATCATCATGGTAAACCGTATTTCCCTAATGAAGAAAAATTTCCTATAGAATAGGACTTTCTATAATATACATGCTTCACCTAACTGGCTAATGATGTAAAGGAAATTTTAGATCTTGCTATCAACACAAATCATGATCAATCTGAACCCGATTGCTCGATGGCTTCCCAATCTGTAGACAAGCAATTGGTGGAGTTGTTGGAGTTCTTAATTCTCCAAAAGTCTGCCAGCAGAATGGATCATATAGGTGGTATTGTTCTTGAAGTGGTTTTAGTTCGATGGAAGTTAAAGTAACATCTGCACAAGGCAAGCTATCACTGCAGGCAAAATGTACTGGCTTGACTGTGTATGTTCCCCTGATTCTTTCATAGTTGATTCCTTGAAGGGCCACGGCTGATGTATGGTTTGTGCATGTCCTTTTATCACAATAATATTGGTCTATCACAATTGGGAGTTGAACTTCAGAAACTTGTATATTTGAGAAGAGAATCCCCTGTACAGAGCCTGATCCACCCTGCAAAAATGTTATATAATTCATAGGTGATCAAACATATTCACAAAGCTCTAAAATTGGAAGGGATGGGAGTGATTGGAATGAATGAAAACTTTGCAAAACTGATTCATCAATATCTAGCACTAATAAACACGCTACAGAGATTATTAGTTGGATAATAGCATACAAAAAAGAGTTCAATTTGTACTGCTTATCGAAATCTGCATCTCTACATAGTAATTTGCTGACTTTTCTCATTAACCAGAAGTTCTATGTGAAAAGAGACGGCAAGTTTCAGAATTGTTGAAATTCATTTTAGTGAATTTATTTTCACTCTAAAAGTTCCATAACCACAACAATCCAATTAGCAGACCACCAATGCTTTTGTAATAGCTATTTCTTTTACTTTTTCACTTGGTAGAAAAAAGATTGTGCAGAAGTCAGTTTGCTGCTTGTGCGTTGTGGACCAATTATTCTGTCTTACATCTTATAACCTTCAATTATATGGGGTTGCATATATTTTACCTGCCACGTTTTGATCCTGACACCATTCATTGTGTTGTGCATATTGACATCTCTGACAGTAATGTTTGACACACAGGCTCTCGTGTTATCCTTCCCTAGACTTCCAATGCTGATTCCATGCCCTGGACCGCAGTTGACATTGTGCACATATACATTTGAGCATCCAGTTTGTATGGAAATACAGTCATCCCCTGCAAAACAGTTCAAATGCGAAGCTTCACTTACCCTCCTTGAACTAAGTAAGCCTATTGGTCTCTGTGGTTTGGTGTTGTGCTGCTACCTCTGGTCCTTAATACAAACTAGATCTTATATTAAACACCAGAGGTAATATCTGTTAAGAACTTGGTTTAGCTTGTAATAGATTTTCTGATGTGCTATATTTACCCAGAGCTCAGTTAGATTAATAAGTGGGGGCCTTCATTGGATAGTCGGCAATGAGGAATGAGAAGCACTATGCAATTATTTTGTTGGCGAATGCAAGACAAGGCTGTCATAAAAGACGCACATAAGAAGAATTCCTGTCTGTAGATTAAAAGAGTAATGTAACATTGGATGATGCAGTGAGGATTTTGGACTTGACATGGGCCATATAGAGTATGTTATAATATGTGAAGTGCTAGGATATTGTTATTTGCCACGTGTCCAACTTCTTTGGGCAATGGATAAGGTAGATAATGCCATGTTCTTATTGAGCTTTATAAACCAACCATCTAAGCTTTGTTTTTGTGTTTCCTGTTTTTGTCTCTGTGTACTACACCACCATCAAAAGTACATTATATTTTTTAAAAATAAACATGAAATTGTGCAATAACTTATTAGTAATTAAAGTATTACCACAAGCTAATTTGCTGCTGTGAATCAAAACATCTTTGGAATTCTGAAGGTGAATCCCATCTGTATTGGGGCTGTCGCCAGGAGATGAAATGCTCACATCATGGACCAGGACGCCATTGCAATTATCAAACTTGAGATGGAACTGTTGGCTATTTTGAATTGTTATGCCTGTGACTGTTGGATTAAAACTGCCATAAAACCGTAGCGCCTGTGCAAAAACAATAAAAATCATGATGCTAACAGTATTTGGCCCACTAGTTTTCTGAAACTTTCATAATATGGCCCTTACAGTTGGCTTCATGAATGGCATTTTCCCTCCCAGCTCACTTTGAGCCTACAAGTACAGTTTGCAGAAGTGTGATCTATCAGCTTCAGACGATGAGATATTGAAATTACTATAACTACTTGCAAAGCTAATTATAATGTTAATATTACCGGCACTGGAGGCCTTTTCACTGAGTTGTTTAGTGGGACAATGAGCTTTTCTTCATCATCAATGGGATTAGCAAATGGGTGGTCTTGCCACCAGACTGAGCCTCTTCCATCAATGATTCCCTTTCCTTGAATGGTAATTCCAACCAGCTTTGTGAAATCCAACCACTGCAACAATCCTCTGCCCCACGCGTTGGGATTCGTTGGGGCAATAATTTTTCCATCAAGCTGACAAAATATCATCATATTAGCCTTGCAAACAATAGTGTCGGTGGCTACAGTATCATTAGCACATGTAAGTAACTCTTTGCAGGTAAATCTAAAAGTATCATTCAACTCCATCAACTGACGTAAAAGTTATTTAACAAGTGGCACTGATACACGACACAGTTACATGATAAACTAGTTATTTTGTCTTTTATAGAATGAAATCAACCAAGAATCTCTTGGTGAGTATCCCATGAAAAGTAAGATAAAGAAGATGAAGAAGAAGAGAGGTGGTGTGTAATGAAGTGTTGTTAACAACGTAATTTTCTGAATGTTGCAATATGACAGACGCATATGTTGTTTTCTGCCAAGTCATAATTACAGGCATTTATCTTTTCACATGTATGTTGGTCCTGTACAACCGTTCTCTTTACTGCCTGTGTTTTCAGTTGTAGGTCACTCGTGTTACCTGAAAAACTATGTTGGGCTTGCAGTATGGACCAGAGAAGGAAATGGGTCCCACAAAGAAGACGTAATCTGCTGGGATGAGCATGGTTGATGCCTGTACCTTACATGCAGCTGCCCATGCAGCTTGAAATGCCTGCGTTTCATCGAAGCTAATATTTACATTACAGTGAGCAAACCATTATATAGATACATATATATATATATATGAGATCTAAAGAAGCAATGAGCTTTTTTGTTTTATTTTATTTCTTTTGTTTTCTGTGCATTTTAACCCCCCGTCTGGAAGTTACAACTTAACCCCTTAACTCCCCTAACGAGAATCACTTTCTTGGTGGGCCTTCCCTAGTTGGGTTGTTCTGTGTCTTCTTTTTCGCTTTATTATTTATTTCTGACTGTTCAATTTTCGTCCGTATATGATGATAAAAGTGAATCATATTATTTTCTACTCGTGAAATGGTGGGCAGGCTATAAATTTTATGTTTTATATAGATCAACATTCTCAGGAAATTTTCTTCATTTATAACTATTATTAACTCCGTTGTCAGTTTTTCACACACTGAACATGAAAAAGAGACAGAAAATATTTATTCTGTGTTCTATTCACAGATGGAATATGTATTATTTTTACCCCTGCTAGCAGATCTGTTAGGTGAGAGAACCCCTAATTAGAGGTCAGAAAAGGAAACAAGATTCCGTTTTTCTGACTTGAGACACCCTCTTTCTGAAACAAAAGAAGCAAGGACTCCCTGGGCCCAAACTCGTCCATGACTAGGTAAAAAATTTAGTCTTTGAATTTAAGATTATTTAACTTTCATGTTATAGAAATTTCTGAATATATGTGTTAAAACTGGTCACCGATGAAAAAATAACATGTTAATCCTTCTGGGACTCAAGCTAAGGTAGGATGTGCTCGAAATTTCAACTTCCCAGAATCCTAATGCCAATGCATAAGCAATGTGAGATCTCCTTTCTTTCTCAAACAACTTCCCCTGAATTTCTTGTTACAAACAGAGGATTCCCCTGAATTCTTATAGGACCCCAGAATCCAGTGAAGGTATGAAAAATTTTATCTTGCTAAGTCAACTTGATTGCGATTTCTAAGTCTAAAAGGGAATGAAAGAACTTACCTTCGTATCATCAGTTTTTCCATCGCCCTTAGCTCCAAAATCTAGTACATTAAAGGTGGTAGAATGACCCCCATTGTAACTTTTCGGTGGTGAACCTGAAGGAGGACTACCTTTCTTTGGCTTAGGAAATGGTGGCGATGGTGGTGAAGATGATGGAGATGGAGTGATTTTATAATGTGGAGGAGATGATGGAGGCTTTGGTTTAGAATGTGATGATCCTCCTCCATGGTGGTTGTTCTGTTTATTGCCATGACTCTTTCCTTTCTTCTTGTACAGAGAAGCAGACACATCTCTGTTTTGCCTCCAATGCTTGCCTCTTCTTGCAATGCAGGCTTCAAAATTGGAAGACCACACCAGAGATGCAATCAAAACCATCAATGTGAGGCCTCTGAAACTCCATTCCCTCATTTTTACTGGTTATATGGGAATGTGAGTAGAGAAGAGAGACAAACAGAGAGAGAGAAAGGAGTGAGGTGGGGGAGAGAGAGAAGGAGAAAAACAGAGAGCTTCTTCTTTGCATTGCCAAAAACAAGCCACTGACATTATATTTATATAAGGACTGGAACTTGAAAGCTTAATATAACTGTGGAGGCAGACAAAACTGTGGTATTTATTATGCTTCATTCTCCTTTTATTGTTTAATCTCTTTTATTGATCTGTCTGTTTTGCTTTTTGTGAATTATGGTTAGACATGAGTACTGCTCTGTTTGCCACATTATCCAAAATGTCTTTGATAATTGCACATCAAGATTTCTTCAAGAGCTAGCGTATTTTAGTGTTATATAAAATGCACTCTAAACAGATGCCTAAACAAGACAAATTCTAATTATCATATATAATGCAGAACGAAGAGTGTAAGAAATAATAACCATTGAACCGAACCCTTTTCAATTGATGCTGCATCTTGAATGGTGTTAATACTTGAGTCAATCATTGTAGGTGAGAGAGTAAATTATATGGTGGCATTTTGTGTTGCTTGCTTGATACAGTTTTGTGCATGTTTAAAAAAGGAAAAAGCAAACGGGGGTGCATTAAGTTGGTAATAAGCAAGATTTAATGGAAAGGCCAAAATGATACACGTGAGTGGGTCTAAGAGATGTCAAGAGAGCACTGATTATAACAGCTCTTTATTATCACATGCAGCCTTCACGGGCCAAAACTTTTTTATGTGCTTTGTCTTCTTAAGCCACTTCCCCCTCTTTAGATCACTTTGATTATTGTTATATACATACCCACACGAGAGAGAGAGAGAGAAAGAGAGAGAGAGAGATGTGTGTGTGTGCAATCAATCTTTTTTCTTTTTTAAGCAAAAGGGGCAAGCTAAAACCAATTTGAATGTGAAAAATTATCATCCATTCTTACACAAAAAGTTAATCACTAAAAGGTTTCATAATAAATTGGCAATGTAAATGACAAATTCTCATGTAGAAAATCACAATAAACGCATGATCTGCTTTCTTCTTGTGAAACTTTTTAGTGATTAAATTGTTCGTATTAAACTCCACAATGATTTCTCCACTTGAATACCAGTGGGATTCAACTCGTGGTGTCTCACATGTAAGATTGAGTCTGAGATTATTAGATCACATGGCCATTCGGCAATCAATCTTTGACTATAAAAGATCTATACGCCTTTCCACTTCTCTTGTTTCTTTGGTAGAAAGAACAGAGGGCGTTAAATTAATAAAATGGAAGCTGAAAGATTACAAGAGGAGTACCATCTGAGTACAGAGTTGCATGATAGAATCATTTGAAAGGAAAGGTTTTGATGAGTGGAAAATCAAAACCTCCATGCGCCCACAGATTTGAAGAATGGTTTCTGCTTTTATTTTTTCGCTGCAGCAGGATATCTTTTTCTGTGCCTACCTAATAGAAACAAAAGCAAAAGTACTATATTTTATGTTTCCTGGCTGAACTAGTGGACAATTTCACAAGGAGAAAAAGTTCACAGAAACCAAACAAATTAGCAAGAGAGTTTGCTCCTTTATGCACAAGAAGCTTCAAGAGTTTAGATTTGGCTAATGATTGTGAATTGGTTTTCTCTTGAATAGATTGATTATATAGTTCCACACATCCTCTATTTTCATTCGTGATTGCACACATAAAAAAGAATAAAATCACACACAAAAATCTCACGATAGAACTTATCGTTATATTTTATATCAGAACTTGTTATTACATGTTACTTATTTATTATAAGACTTTTTAATGACTATATTCCTTTGTTTTGCACCTCAAAGTGATTTTTCCTTTTATTTATTCAAATTGTTTGAGCAATCATTTATTCAAATGACACCGTCAAATAATGTCCCTTCAAAGATTTTGGGTTTGATTCTTGTTGTTAGCATCTTTTGATGATTATTTTCTAATGTTGAAATTCTGGAATCATTTATTGGTTGAAAATCATATAGGGAGGGGGATGAAGATGGTGATGAATCAAATAATGTGAGGTGTGTGTGAGCCCTATATTTAGGAAAATGCCGCCGCTTGAAAGCCACCTTACACTATGAATCGCCATCTCCTAAACTGTTCGTTACTTTCACATATCCCTTTCCCTTCGGATTTTGCTTCCAAAAACAGTCTTAGTCTCTGTTAATATATTACTCCCCGGTCCTTAATATAGGACCCAATTCTTAAATTGATTTTGGTCCTAAACATAAGACCTATTTATCATATTTATCAATTTTTTTTAAATTACTCATACGGATACTCCCTCAACTATAATCAAGTAGAAGAGGGAGATAGAGTATTAAGAAAGATAATTATGGTGTTTTAAGAAAAATGTGTCACTTTTCTTATAATTAACTAACTTACCTAACTTCCTTAATCTAATCAAATTAGTTAAATAGATCTTATATTAAAGGCAGAAAGAGTGCTATGTACTATATACTGCATTGTGCAAAAAATAATGTGATGAATTAGTGTTACTGTTTGCAATTTGAGTTTGAATCCTTACTGTGAGTACTTTAAATTTGTTTTGTCATGATATATTGATATTGATTGTTTAATTATATATGCTTATATTTTTAATAATTTTGATGGCAAGGGTAAAGCCTAAGATGGGGATCGAACTTGAAACCTGATGCTACAACGGTCACATCTTGTACTACTAAACCCCATAGTCCTTGGCTTTTTAATTTTATACTCCTCCGGTGTTTAATATAAGATATATTTAACTAATCTTGTTAGATTAAGAAAATTAGGTAAGTTAGTTAATTGTAAGAAATATAACATGTTTTTCCTAAAACACCATAATCACTTTTTTTAATATCATCCCTCCCTCACTTATTAGTTGAGAAGGTATCCATATGGATAATTTAGGAAATATTGATAAATATAAGAAATAGGTTTTATATTTACAAATAAACTAATAAAGTTAACTTAACAATTAGGTCTTATATTAAGAACCGAAGAAGTACTATCAATATTTAATATAAAAGTTAGTTGGATATTAAATTTGACCATAAATTTAATATCCCAATCCATTTTATGTATTATATTTATCATTTTTTTCAACTAATTTACTTTTTTTTTAATTGGGAACTAATTTACCTAATTAACTTATAAACTAATATACAATATAATATCATATATGGGTATTTTAGTGAGATAGGGTCGTGTTATTAAAACTAACTAATTTATCTAATTTTATTGATATATTCAAATTAGCTAAGTACTCTTCCAGTTCTAAATGAAGACTCTTATACTAGAGTATATAAAGGTCTTATATTTAGGACCGGAAGAGTATTTTTTGAGACGTAAAGGAGTATATAACATAATAAAATACTTATTCCGATTTTAGATGTAGGTGAGAAGGAACACATACTAAACTTACCCGAGTACATGAACCCACACATATGTTGTCATGTGTTCTTGGTTTATTTTTATTATGACAAGACGTTTTCTTAGCTAGACTGCACGGGTTAAGAAAAAGTAATTCATGTTAGTAATTATTTTAAAAATCACCACTTCTAAATTAAATTTACTAAATTCTGACGCCATCTTTATTCTCTAAAATAGAAGGTCAAAAATTTGACTTCCAATACAAGGATGTTTGCAAAATAAAAAATTAAAGTTTTAAATACTTTGCAATGTAATATAAATTTTCTGGAAATATAACCCATCAAAAAAATCATAAAATGTATGGCTAATATTTATTTAGTTTTTATGTTCCTCAGTTTCGGCCTACTTGACTCCAATAATTTGCCCGAATCTTCGGGCCTTTTTTTTAAAATAAATAAATAAATAAAATAATCACATGTGATTTTGTGGGTGGGCAGGGCTCGTATTTCTGTACGAAACGACCTTCTTAATCTGAGGTGTCCTGCGGCGTGTCATGCCCTCGTGAACTCCAAGCCTCCCCGTGAACCCCATGCGCCCTCTTGGTATTAAATTTTTAATCCTTCCTTATACTCTCTCTACCCTCATTGAAACTAGGGATAATTAATCCACGTGTCTTTATAGTTTTAATTAATTTTAAATCAAGTTTTTATAGTTTTTTTTCTTTTTATCAGGTCCTTATACTTTCACCTGTTTTTAATTAGATTCTTGTATTTATTTTTTTTATCAAGTCCTTATAAGTTCACCTTATTTTTAATTAAGTCCCTGAATTTTTTATTCTTTATTTTATAAATTCTAATAGTACTATTATATAAACATAAAATAGTATATATTATTTAATATTAGTTTATAAACAATAATATTCTAAAGATATTGAATTGTTGTAATGATTTTAATTTTTTCAGCAAAAAAATTAATTGTTCTAAAAAAATTTTCTGAATTAATTAATTCTATTACTTTTTTATTACATAATTATTAATTTAATTTAATTATTAATATTTATATTTCAGTATTAATCTATTTAATTAAGCTTATATTTAATTAATAAATAAAAATTAAAACTACATGGACCTGATTAAAAATTTAGTGAAATTATAAGGACTTCATTAAAAGAAAAATAAATACAAGGACCTAATTAAAAAAAGGTAAAAGTATAAGGACCTGATAAAAAGAAAAAAACTATAAGGACCTGATTCAAAATTCGTTGAAATTATAATGACTTGCGGATTAATTAACCCTTGAAATTATAAGGCCATACTTCTAATGTTTAATGTGTTCTAATATTTAATGTGATATGTTTTGTTTAAAGCATTAATTTTTAGATTAAATAATTAAGCACTTAAATTATTTTTTCAATAATATTCACTATTTTAAATAATTTTTTTATATATTTAACATCCTAAAATACTTAAAGTATCACGCGTCTCTCAATAGCACTCTTTATATTAAGTGGGTGTTTGAGTAAAAACCAAACCATAGTTTTAAAAGTATTTTTACTGTTCATGAAGTAAATATATAGAAGAGTTTGTCTCGTTTTGCAGAAAATTACTTTTTAAAAATACTTTTAAAGATTGTCAAACACCTCCTAAATTTACGATACTTATTTTAACTAAAAAATATTGTAAGAGCAAAATAGCAACGAAAATTATTTTAGAATAGTAATATACTACCTCTGTTTCTTAATATAAGATCTTGTTTGGCTTTTATTTTGGTCTTAAATATAAAACTCTAATATATTTTGTCTCTCATATTTATCCATTTTTTCTAAAATAGTCCTTCTAATAATGATAGTTCTAAATAATAAACTTAATTAGCAAAAATATTTTAGGAAAAACAACATCTATTCATTACAAATAACTAACTTAACTAAGTTCTTTAATCTCTCAAAATTAATCAACTGGGTCTTATAATTAGGACTAGATGTAGTACTTTAATACGCAAGATGCGACCTAACCCTTAATTTTCTTACATTTTGTATCCAAATTTTCTCTAATTAATTGAGAGTAATTTTGATATTAATAACCAAAAAGACCAAAAATAAAAGGGCCCGTGCCCTTCCAGGTAAGGCATCACCTCGCTCTTATGGATGGTCGCAATAATTATTATATGGCCCACACAAATATTAACAATTATTATAATATTAATGATAACCATTTCGTTAACCCCACCACATGATCAATACTGAAGCTAATTTGTAATGCAACCATTTTTTTAGTATAAATTATGTGGCGTGGGTCTCTGTATTTTAAAAAAAAGTTATCATCGTTTAATCTTTTCTCTTGTATATATTATTATGATTTTTTAAAATTTGAGTTTTGAATTTCTACACTTGGGAGTTTTATTTTTATTCAATTGTATTGTGATTAAATATTTTTGATTTATATTTGAATTTATTACTCGAATTATTTAATCATATATATTTTTATATGAGTTTGATGATTTTATAATTTATATCCTTTGAATGTTCTTTTTAAAAGTGCAAGTTATAAATTGAATATAAATTACTTGCTAAGTGGTATTTAATAATTATTTAAAATATAATTATATTGTAGATTGTTTGGTATACTTATTGATTAAATAATTGAGTTAATTAATCTGCAAGTCCTTATAATTTCAACGAATTTTGAATCAGGTCCTTATAGTTTTTTTTTTTTATCATGTTCTTATACTTTTACCTTTTTTTAATTAGGTCATTGTATTTATTTTTCTTTTAATTAAGTCCTTATAATTTCACTAAATTTTTAATCAGGTCCATGTAGTTTTAATTTTTATTTATTAATTAAATATAAGCTTAATTAAATAGATTAATACTGAAATATAAAATATTAATAATTAAATTAAATTAATAATTATGTAATAAAAAAGTAATAGAATTAATTAATTCAGGAAAAGTTTTTAGAACAATTAATTTTTTTGCTGAAAAAATTAAAATCATTATAACAATTCAATATCTTTAGAATATTATTGTTTATAAACTAATATTAAATAATATATACTATTTTATGTTTATATAATAGTACTATTAGAATTTATAAAATAAAGAATAAAAAATTCAGGGACTTAATTAAAAATAAGGTGAACTTATAAGGACTTAATAAAAAGAAAAATAAATGCAAGGACCTAATTAAAAACAGGTGAAAGTATAAGGACCTGATAAAAAGAAAAAAAACTATAAGGACCTGATTCAAAATTAGTTGAAACTATAAGGAGCTGTGGATTAATTATCCCTAAATAATTTGATTTAGGTGTTTGCCTAAGATTTAGATGTTGAACACTTAATAATTAATTACTCCATACCTTTTGAACTGTGGTAGGCACGCATTTGTTTTCAAAAAGTTTCATCATCTTATTTTATCTATTTTCTTATTTTTCTTTTTTTATTATTTATAAAAAATCAAAAAATATTTCTTTTAATTGTTCTTTTCTTTGGTTGCGTTTTTACACTTAATTAATTTAGGAATCAAATTTAACATTGACTGCGCATGGATAATCAACTTAAGTTAACCACTATATTGTATAGAGGTTAATTTAATACTCTTTCAATCCTAAATATAAAATCTCTTTTCTAGTGTAATTTACACTATAAAATAAATCTTATATTTAGGATCGGAAAAGTATAATTAATTTGAGCGTGAAGCGACTAGCCCCTTCAAATTTTGTGTCAACACCAAATGAGCATTGTATCCACCACTGGCTCTTATTGTGGCAACATTTCTCTATTTTTTTTTTCTTTTGGAAAGATATTTGGGGGGGGGGGGGAAAAGAAGAAGCGGATACTCATAACTATTTCACGAATATAAACGACTCATAATCCCATAAAGAACTATTCACGGATATGAGGATGGCTTTGAGCCACAAAAAAAGAACTTCGGCTTTATCGATGTCTATAACTTAGGAGTTTGGAGGAAATAACACACACACACACACACACACACACAGTTTTTATCTTGTAGTGGTTGGCCTATGTAAGTGGCAGAGAGAGGTCACGAGCAACTTACAAGGTGACATATTTACGCACAGTCGCACAGACAACTACCTCCCTCTTTTTTATTCTAGTTTCATGGTTTGTGTGCACTGCGCACACCCATGTGCATTCCCTTTTGGTTTTTTGCTTCCTTCGAATGTTCATTCTGTCCTTCTAAATCACAATCACGATCTTTCTGTGTTCCAAGTACACCTCTCACGATTCGCCTTTTTTTTTTTTTTAATTGAAGCATAGGTATCCTCTTATTGAAAGTAATCCTATTTGAGACACTATTGGATACTAAATGTGGGCATATTTCTCAGCGAGAATTCAAACATTGGTTCACCACGTTGTGAAGGATTAACTCCTTTTGTTATACCTAATCCACGTTGTCATTTTCTTTTTATATAACTCAGTATTCTCAAGTCATTTTGGATTTGAGATAAATTTCTATCAGACCAGAAGCGTTAAAATTAAAACCCTCCTAACAAATATACTTAGTATCTTAACCAATAATTTGTTGGTCAAAATTCACTTTTTTTTTTGGCAATTTTCTCTCAAGAAGCTTCACACGCTCATCAAGAAATTCAACGCTTGTTTCACTCCCAGAACAAAAAGAAAAATGTTTCTGGGCAATCGTACTGTGTCGGGCCTGAGACATATGACGTTTGGTCATGAAAACTCAACACAAACCCATAGTAGCCAGGCTGCGCCACAAGTCTAAAGCTATGGGCCGGATACAGAAGAAAGACAATTATGTGCTACTTCCGGTTTTAATTATAAGAATTAATTGATTAATTTAATAAGATTAAAAAAAATTAAGTTAGTTATTTATAATAAATAAGTAGTGTCTTTCTTAAAATATCTTTACTAATTAAGTGTATTGGCTAGAACTACTATTGTTAGAAAGATTACCTTGGACAAAATGCATAAATATAAAAGATAAAATAGATTGAAATTTTATATTTAGGACCAAAATAAAAATCAAATAAGCTCTCATATTCAGGACCGAAGGTAGTATTATGAGTCCCGCAATAGGAAGCCTCACGAGTGTGACGTGATTTGTAAGTCAAAAAGCCCTCCTTCCCATTAGGTTGATATTTTGGACTTGCGTTCATAATAAAGATGTTTTAATTGAAAGCTTAATGTTCATGGAGAAGGCTAGCCATGAAGAGTTCTGATCGATAAGAGGTCAAGTGAAATGCGATGATGTGAAGCTGTCAGGATGTCAATTCTCATAGAGAATCTAGGCCAATTTTTTTGGAATCAGGCTCTTCCTTTAAGCTTATGATCATGACGTTATGTTAAGCTTAACATAACCTTTTACACCTAAAAGGTACAAGGATTGCTGTGATGATATGTATGCTCTTGTGGGATTTAGTTTCTCCACATATCACTTCACAGATCTAAAAGCAGACATTCTAATTTGTAGATCATCTTGCTCTCGAGAGAAGCTAATTAATCAAAAACATGGAGCAAACCAAGAAGCCAAAGAAGAGCAAGGAAAAGATTCCTTTTTGTTCTTTCCCTTCTATAATGCAGGCTAGCAGTTTTTTCGCCCTGTTAAATTAAATAATCAAAGTTGGTCCCATTTTATTACAAGTTGTACTGTGGACCACAATGTATTTTGGAGGCATACCAACTGTTATGCAGAATTGCTGTGTTTGTCAGTTAGCCTCATGAAGCTAAATAAGAACACTAATAGCAGTGTACTATCAAATAGCTTCAAGTTTATTTATATTTTATTGTTACTAAGTAATAGGTTTAGTGCTAACCATGTACTGCAAAGTATCTTACTTGTCCTTTCACTGTTTCTTCCTCTAACTGATATCCTGACCATATCGAAGCTGTTCAAACCGTTGCCAAAAAGGCAGAACAAGTAACAAACAAATTCTCATCTTTTTTTACCAGGAGGAACAGAGCTAGGAATTTGTGTGAGATCCACTGGCTTCTTGGTATAAAAGCTACTTCTTTGGTCTTGTTTATAAGTCAAAAAGAAAAAGTTTTATTTGTTTCCATTTTGTAAGTTGTATCATTAAATTTTCTACATGAACGTATAATTTTGTTCTTCTTTATTATCATGAAGTCTTTTTTTTTAAAAGTGTATATATTAAATTAGAATAAAATTAAAAAGTTATTAAATTAGACTTTTTAAGTTTGAGAAGCAAATAGCACATTCTTGTAAAGACTCTACACGGGACATTTGGTATAACATGATCTTGATTTTAATATTTTAATATTAAGCAAATAAAAATCTCATAGATGAGTGGATAAAAAATCAATAAAAACACCAAGCAATTGTAATGCTAACTTGCTAAGATTTAAATACATCTCAAACAATATCATAGAATGGCACATATATCTTGTTCTCCTTCTTCAATCTTGTTCTCAACCAATGCTCTCTCCTTTTCTGGGGCAAATTGGAGAATATTTTCTACTCTTAATTAACTAAATAAATGGCAAACCATATATCCCTTCTGCTATCTCTCATTTCAAACTTCCACCATCAAATCCTTCTTGTTACTTCACAAAGGATTATTATAATGTATGCATATAGAACCAAATTTATAGTTCCATGTGACGAGTATCATCTTTAACTGGTTCTGCAATATTGTCATCGGAATTCAGGCAATCTGCAGAAGGATGAACCACCCCACATCCAAAGCCTTGAGCTGAATGACAGTATGTCTCCACTGAGCCATCCTCTTTCTCCAAGTCAATGTTGCTAAGCACTAGGCTGCTGCATGGAACTGTGTCACTGCAGTCAAATGTAATGGCTTTTGCGCTCTTCGTTGTCCCACTGATGTTCTGATATACGATCTCGCTTATCTTCACAGCTGATTCCTAAGAAAAATCAAATGTACAAGAGAAAGGTTTATTAACTTTTTTGAGTATATTCTCTCCATGACAATTGAAAGTTGAGAACCTGGCATGATGAATTTGACTATTTTAGACCCCTTGATATCTTATACCTTGGCATCCAAGATATCATAGCTTAAGAGGGCAATATACCATCTTGTGATGGGTTTCACCATACGAACATGGTACATAGTAAACTGATGAGACAGAAAACTTGAAGATGGTATATAGTAAACTGACGAGACAGAAAACTTGAAGACTATCCGTCCTTACCTGGGTTTGACAAGTCGTGGGGGAGTCGCAGTAGAACTGATCTATGATTATGGGGTTTGATACGTCTTCCATCCTCACATTCTGAAATCGGACCCCACGAACATACCCAGAACCTCCCTGCATGATGCCAGAATAGGACACAAAGCAGTCCTAGTTAATCTCAAAACATCAATTTCTACTAGAATTTTACATTTAATTTAGAAGTAAATCTCAATATCTGAATGACTCATGGAAGAAGATCTTTACACACTATAGAATGATGGTATCATTTACATTTATTACACTACAATTTTGTTTCCAATACGAGAAAGCACCACGAAACTTTCTCTTGAGAAGACAATAATATCCTAAACGGTTCTGAGATCCCCCTTCCCCGACCTTGAATTTCTCCTAGCAATTAGTTATTACTGACATATGATATTATAGCAAATTATTCCCAAATGATTTTATGAAAATTTAGAAATTTACCTGCCAAGTTTTAATCCTGACACCATTTGTAGTCTCCTTAAGAACTGCAGTATCCAAAATCACCTTAGTGACTACGCCAGTGGAGTTGTCCTTCCCAAGGCTTCCAATGCTGAAAGCATAGTGTTCAGAGAAAAGAAAGAAACCAGGGATTTATGACTTTTAGCAAGGGAGCAATGTACACGTCAAGTAACTAATAATTTATATCTATATATTAATATATAATATAAAATCTATAAGTAGTCACACTATTCAGAAGCCAACAGTAGTGCGGCTCACCTCAACCTCTATGTAAAGTACAAGCCCACAATCTAATTTTAAATTATACTTGGTGGGGGAAGAAAGGGAAAGAGAATTGAATCAATTACCTAATCCCATGTCCTGGTCCACAATAAATCCTCTTCATTTTAATATTAGAGCTTGCATTGACAATTGACACACAATCATCACCTGAATATAACACACAACCATCATGAGAACAACTTGCCGGCATTCGCCTGTTAATCTCAAATTCTTGAAATTCTGGAGCATGCCACTTATTTGTTGAAACATTGTAATCAGAGCAGTATTTGGAGTTAACCTATGTCAGCTCGTGTTTTATTTCCTTCTCCGTTTTATTTTTTGGTGTCTCTACGTTGTGTATTATGTGTTATGTAAGTTATCTACCTCAATCTATCACAATTCAATTTTTGTATTCTGTTTCCTGAGTCCTGTAAAATGAAATTTAAGTTGACAGCACAAAATTTCAACCAAAGACAAGAACCTGTTCCAATTCTGCTGTTTTGGAGTACAACATTTGTTGATTCACTTATGTGAATTCCATCAGTGTTTGGGCTGTCCCCTGGTGCCGACACTTTTACACCATTAATTCGAACCGCATCACATCGGGATATCACAAAATTCATTTGCTGGCTATTCTGGAAAGTTAGTCCTCTCACCCTTATAGCTGAGCTTGAATCAATGGTAAATGCCTACAAAAACCTCTCAAGTTAAATTTCACTATGTAATTATGATTGCACTTCCTGCAAATATTTCTTCTAGAAAAAATTCAAACATTGAGAGGATAAGATTTTAGAAAATGGTCCTTACTGTTGGGGCAGCTTTGCAGGGCTGCAGAAAAGAATGCAAGGAAGCACAAAAGAGAAGTTATTAGGTTCAATCGAGGATTTGTATGAAACCACAAGACAATTAGGGTCCAGTTCTGAAATATTACATTTGTCTTGTTTTTCTTGCAAGATGCTGCCCACCATTTACTTCCTGAGCCATCAATAACCCCATGTCCTTGGAAAATAGCTTTATCTAACTTTGAGAAAACAAGCCAAGTCCGTGGAAAATTTGGATCCCAGTTCTTTGGCTCATCTGGTGCTACAATTGTTCCATCAATCTGCAAATAGTAATGTTATGCAATGAGCATATCAACACTGGATCTTGTAGATAAATCTGACGGTAATAAATCAGAAAACCTGGATGTACACTTACCTGAATAATCAGCCTGTCTGCACAAGGTCCTGTGAATCTGGTTGCATTAACTAGGTAACGGCGTCCTTGAGGAACTAAGAAAACAGATTTTGGAGTAGAGCAAGCAATATCCCACGCTTTTCTGAAAGCCTGTTAATCACAACATTAGAAAAGAGAAAGAATAAAATAATGTGTTGTTAGTAACCAATGGTGCATGACCCACATAGCTAGTACTGAGAAAAAAATATTTTGGCCATGTTTAATAATGAATTAAGTGTAGAGTGCATGTGTAGAAAAATAATGGAGTACTTATACCGATTATTACAGGTACATCTCCATAACACCACTCAAAAAAGGGGGCAAAAAGGAACCTGACCTGGGTATCATCAGATTCTCCATTTCCAACGGCGCCAAAGCTATCGACATTCACAAGAACTTTGGCACCACGTTCACTATTCCATGAAGGGATCTCTGAAATCTCTACCTCATTTTCTTCTTCTTCTTCTATGTCCAGACTTTCAAGTTCTCCTAGCATGCCTATTTGGTCACATGAAACGTTTCCTGCAGCTCCATGAGCCGCTATTAGCAAACCAAGGAAAAAAACAAGAAAGAATTTATCCATATCTTGACTTTGTTTGTTCTATTGCAAGGATTGGTCGATGTGATTAATTTCAATGACTACTTTGGTTACAATTTATATGCTCAGATTATCTCTAGAAATGGAGGATTTGGAGGACTTTATGGCTTGACTTGGAAGTGGATGAAGGCATTCAATTTTCTACATGCCCACACTTAAAGTACAAGGGAAATTGTTTGTAGTATTTTGCTTTACTCATCAACCAATCATAAGACTCACCAGTAATAGCATACAGTTGTGCTTTTTCTTCCCTTAGCACCTTTGAAAGAGAAATGGATATCAGTAACATGTAATCTACGAGACATTTTTATATTTTTTAGCTATTTAAAAATGCAAAAGTGTGTCATGGCATACATAAAGGGAAAAGAAATAATTTCTATTTCAATAAGACGATCCCAGTTAGTTATACCAAACGGGGAATGAAAGTGCAGATCCTCGTTTTCTTGGCATGCCCACCCAAAACCCCACTTCAAAGGAAACCTCTTTTCCCATTAGAATGCAAGATTTGAAGACTCCACAAAGTAAAGAATACCTTAACATCAGTGCTTTATCTCAATCAAACTACGACCAATCTCCCATATCATCTTCCTGGCTAGAGCCACCTCTCTGATTTGCATAGATGCATCAAAATCCCCAATCTCAGAAAAGAATTGTGAAGCTTGCAACCAAACCGCTGGATCATCTGGACCAAGCTCCATTATCATTTTTGCTACTCTTCTTCCAACCACTTCATTCTTGTGGACCCTGCAACTTCTTAGTAATGAACAGCACATAGCAAAGTCGCCTTCTCCAGGTGCCTTTTGCAGCAGCTCTTCAGCTTCATATAGCAATCCTGCGCGGCATAACAGATCCACCATACATGAAAAATGCTGGCGATCTGGGTGCACCCCATGAAGTGATTTCATAGAATTGAACACTAATCTTCCTTCATCAACAAGTCCCGAATGGCTACAACCTGCTAATACACACAAGAAGGTAACTTTATCTGGTTTTAGGCCTTTCTCAACCATAGCTTGAAGCAATTCAAGGCCTTCTCGCCCCATCCCATTTCGTGCAAACCCATTTATCATTGAAGTGAAGCAAATGGCATTTGGAGAATTAAGAGTTTCAAAAATACGACGAGAAAGTTCCACATGCCCCAATCTTGAATATGCATCGATTAGAGAGCAGGCAACGGCAATATCTTCTTCAAATCCAGATTTTACAGCCAAACAATGCAGCAACTGACAGCTAGTGAAGTTTGGTGAAGCAGATACAGATAATGCTTTTAAAGTAGTGGAGAAAGTTATTTCATCTGGTTTAATACAATCGTCCATCATCAAACCAAACAACTGCACCGCATCTTCTGTGGCATTAAATTGAGACAAAGATGTCATTAATGAATTGCAACATTGTAAAGTTTTCTCAGGAAGGCACTCAAATATGGCAATCGAACTATCAATGTCGCTGCATTTTCCGTACATATCAATCAAGGAAGATTGAACATGAACGCTTTGGGTATCAAAACCCAGTTTCAGAACATAACAATGAATCTGTTTCCCCAGATTAATATTTTTCATCCTACTTGAGAAATTCAGAAACCCCACTAATGAACGGATGGATGGTCTCTGACCCCATAGTTGCATGGTTGTAAATAATTCCAGAGCATCAAACAACAAATGGTTGTCTATATAAACAGAAACCAGTGAGTTCCATGAAATAACATCGTCAATTGGAATAGCTTCAAACGATTTCCTCGCCTCAACTAAACACCCACAAGCAGAGTAAAAATCCACCAAAGCATTAGCAACATAAATGTTCGATTCCCCTAACCCAAGTTTCAGAATACGGCTTTGAATCTTCTTCCCTTCATGGAACAATCTCAAATTACTGCAACCCCTAAGTAGATAACAAAAGGTAAGCCCATTTGGCTCGACACCTTCCGATTCCATCTGGATTTGAAATCCAAGCAATTCTTCTTCTTCCATTCGACCCAGCTCTGATAACCCACGTAACACTATATTCCATATCGCCAAATTTCGTTGAGGCAACTCATCAAACACTTTCATTGCGACCCTACTTAGTCCCATACTCATGTAAAAATCAATAATGGCCCCAACAACGAACACATTCAAATCGAATCCAAGTTTAACCACTCTACAATGCACCTGAATGCCTTCTGTATAAAACTCAGCTTCGCTACAGACTCCTATCACAGAGGAGAACGTCGAAGCACTCTCTCTCATTCCGATTAAACCCATTTCAGCGTAGAGATGAAGAGCCTGGCTCGATAACCCATATCTGCTATGACCAGAAATTAGCAAGTTGTAGGTAACAACGTCACGTAGTGGCATGCTATTGAACACTGCAATTGCTTCGTGCAGATTCTTCGATCCGATCAGATTATCGATTTCGCGGTTCTTCATATAAATATAGTCACTGCTAGTTTTACCACTAGACAGCAAACAATTGTTTGAGGCCTTGGGTCTATAATTCGCGAATTTGGATGTTATGACTCTGGTGAAGCACAAGACTTTAGCCTTCTGCATTTTGCATGACCCATGAGAATTTTGTACTTACAATGAGCATTTAGGTTCGAACATTCTTAATGCATATTGCGAATCGGAAAACATTTGTAAAACAGCGAACTTTATTGTAGCACTATTCAACACAAAGTGCTCAGCTCCCCTGTCGAAGTATCAATGCTGCATTGTTGCAAGCTATTAACAAGAACGGCTTTCATCAAATGTAAAATTAATAACAATTCAAGCCGATAGATTCTTGTCTGGTTCTTCAAATTTGGTGAGTAATAATTTAGTCCGTGTTTGGGTTCACGTATAAATCAACAAAATCACATTTTAGTGGGTTATTTAAACATGATTTTGATAAATTCTAATGTAAAACCAGATGTACTCCTTGTTAAATTTAAATTTTAGATTAAATTCCGCATTGATTTGCGAAGAATGTTACTTAACATTGGATTAAAGTTTTCTTCGAAAGACGTCCAATTCACAATCAAATACATAATTTTCCAGTAATTTACTACGAAGATTGCACAATTTACTCAACAAACCCTTGAAAAGAAGATTCATCTATTGCCATGCTTGGAAGGTACATGCTTAGCTTACTTTATTAACAACCAAGCGATCTAGCTAGCTAGTTTGATTTTCTTCCTTCAAATATAAGAAACAAATCCGCCGCCCCACTCTGGTGCAAGAGACTGGAATGTTGGTCGTGGAATCACAACCTATAAGTTCAATCCATGAAATCTGAACTGAAATATTAAGTAAACCCTAAACGTTTCAAAATAGTTAGTTCCATGTGAAGAAGTATTATCTAATTGCCAATTCGCGTAAGATTTATCGAAACGCAAGATAGAGAGACAGCAAAGAGTTCTCAGGGGATTGAGAATGAAAATGTCGCCATCCTTAAAAGTTCAATCACTTTTTTTCTTTTAGAGAAAAAGCCACTAGGCACCTTTTCATCTGTCACAATCTTCTCTTCAAACTTCACCTTCCTCCTGCCCGCAATGGTTGGTTAATTTTCTTAAAAGAATGAGAAGCCGGAAATTAAAATGTACGTGTGAGTGGACATCACACTGTATTCTTTTCAGGTGTAAAAAGAAGTCAATAAGTAATAATATTAAGATTAAAGTGTAAATCTATTCATTAAATATTTTTCCGTGCATATTTGAAATCATAAAATTTTCTTAGGCACAAAATGCATGAACATTTTGAATGGAGAAAAATGTCATGTTTATTATTTTTTTTGAATTACTTCACTCGGTGTCCTGGATAACCCCTCAGAAAATTACAAACCAGACTCATCCAGATCAGAGATTATGGGCGGCTACCCTACTACCTACACTGCTGCATGCCCGAAGGATCGAATCCGTGACCTTTGATTGAGCTGGAACAACTCCTTACCAACTGATCCAAGTGCTCGGTGATCATGTCTATTATTTTATATCTAACATCTGATGATTTAATAGGGTCAAATCTATTTAGGTCCCGTTAGATATAAAATAGATTTTTAATACTTCCTACTAAACAGGATTTAGTGTTCAAAAGTAAATGTTAGTTGCACTCAACATGTCATTTTTGTTCCATATAAAAACATTCACATATACTATTATGTTAAAAAAAAACTTTATGATACTTTTTATCTTAATTCTTAATATTAAAATTAATATGTTTATCGAAATTTCTACTAAATCATATTTACAATTGGTAAAATATTGAGATCCCTTTTTTTAAAAAGGGTAAATGATGAGATGTGACTTGATTTAGTTAAATATGAAATATAAAATTTGTACAACATTAATGTAAGTGACTTCTTTTTCAAATTAACTACATCTAAAAGCCCCATTTTGAGTTTATAACCATCGTGTTGATACCATGACACACTATCTTGTATCCTTATTATAAACGTTAATGGACTAATTTAAACAAATTCAAAAAATTAGTTAAATTATTTATAATAAATAAGTGTTATATTTTCTAAAATACACTACTAATTATATACATTAGTTAGAACTATTTTGATGAAACATTTAACATGTGCTAGTATTACAAGAACTATCTTAAAAATAATAATAAATATAAGAAATAAAGTGGATTAGAGTCTTATATTTAAGATCAAATTAAAAGTGAAACTAGCTCTTATATTAAGAATAGAAGGTAGTATTAGATTAAGGTAAAAGGCTCCACCAACTCAGATAGTTACTATTTGCTATTTTGCTTTCGGTATCAACAAAATTAAACTCTATTATCTTTCAGAAAATTAATACGAAGAATATAGATATTTTAAATTTAAAAAAATGTCATCATTTTGAGGCGCGTATCGACGGTGACACTAAGCGCGTGGGGACGAGACCCCTACGGTTAATGCAGGTGAGCGCCGGAATGCGAAGTTCGGTGCGACTGGTGCAAGACGTTGTGCTCCCCATTTCGGTGCGTACGTGATCGATCGTACACCAATAGCTCATGGCACCTTCATGCTGTCCGATGTCCTCACATTCTTCTCTCACCTCTGTTCTTTCTCTTCGCTTGCGCGCGCCCACCACCCACTCTTCTTCCCCTTCCTCCCGTTGTTCCCCTGCAGAATACATGTCTCATCCCTGCCTCTGAGAAAAAGTAAGCACGCCAGCATCCCGCTGCACTGCATTTTCCGGCACGCCTTTTTCTTCAGCTTCAAGAAATACGCCCTGGCTTAACATTTCCGTTTTCATCCTTATTTGATACATACGAGGTTCATATGCCTTTTTCTTTCAGGAGAAGTATTTATGAAGTAATAGTCAAGTTCAAGTCATTTAAGTCAGTAATTATCTTGAAATTTTAGAAGCGTTCAAGTCATTTAACGCGTAGTTATCTTGGATTTGGAGAAGTCTTCTCGTTATTTAAATTTATCTTGTCTGACCATTACATACTAGTCGAACAGTTTGTTCACTCGTTTTTGATATGTCTTTATAATTTCTTCTGATATATCCTAGTGATGTATGTATGCTTCGTAGAGTTCTGGAGGCTGTTTGGTGAACGTTAATAGCTGCTTCCTGCTTGGTCATGGTATGTTTTCCACTCCAATAAGAGGATTTAGTCTTCACTTGCTATCAGATTCAAAATGACCCTTCTTAATCATGATCGGTTTTTCAATTTAAACCCTTCACATAAATTTTATCTTTAAAGTATCCAGCGCCAATAATGACTGGTTTCCACGGCGAAAATTCCATTATTTTGTCATTAAATATGTTTAGTTTTTCCGGGCTAATTAAATATATTGGAAGCAGTAAAAAAGTTATGAAACTTTTAGTTTTGTTGTTTATTTGATAAGATTTATCTCATTTTAGATCTTGCTCGGTAAGATTTATCTCATTTTAGATCTTGCTCGTCTGATTTTTTATTCAATTTCTACGTGGGGAAAAAATGTTTAGGATACAAGCGGAGATAGTTGGGAGAATAACGTTGATTGGACCACTGATGATGAACTTGAGGTATTTGGCGTGCCATTGCAAGGGTCTCTGAGAATAACAAACACTAGTGAGGTGAGTATTGAATCTTCTCTGAAAGTAACTTCTGCATCCACTATTTGGGTGGAAAAAAATCCTTCTCATTATATAAATTAGTGTGAAGAACTAAATAAATTTTATCACTCGAAACTTAAGATTTTAAAAAAAAAAAGTTGAACTATTATTCAATCATCATTCCCCAGTCTCGTGATATGATGGATCTGGTACACCCGCCATCAGTAAGCTGTGTTCCACGGTAGAAACTAAAAAGCATGCTCCCCGGAGATATTTGATGGTGCATACTTGTATGAAAAGACTAGGCGCATATCATGATTCTGCCTTCCATTTTGCTAATTGATTCCTTTATGCAGGAAAGCACTTCTCGCATGTTAAAGAAGGACGAGACACTGTCAATGCTTGTGGATATGGGATACGCAATGGAAGAGGCTTTGATAGCTATGGATAAATGTGGTATGTAGTATTGTTTCCATTTTTTTAGTTTTATTTTCTTCCTTTTCATTTCCTATTTCTTCTTCTATTTTGCCTCGTATCGGCGGCATTAACTGATCTGAAGTAATTTAGTAATTGTTGAGGAAAGAACTACTTTTCCTCCTATCCTTGTACCATGTTCCCCATCCAAAGCCATTATGGTTATATGGTTGATTTTACGATTGCGGTATCTTATTAGAACACCATGCAGGCATTGATGCCCAAATAAGTGAGCTGATGGATTTTATTTGCGCTGCTCGAATAGAGAAGGAAATTGATTCCCAACTTCAACATTCACATAATCAGAAACCCATCGCACCTACCCACACATTCGAAAAGGTATTGTGCACGATCCTTCTAAATGACTTTGTAATCTTTTCAAATGACTATGTCTATACCTTCTTTAGTGTGACTCTTGTCATTTAAGAAGAAATATTCTCAATCATGTTGTGTCTTCGCTTTGTAGGAACCATATTTATTTCATAACACAGCCAAGGAAGTGAAACAAAACAACGAAAAATGGGAAAGCAGAATATGCAGTTCAAGTGAAAAGGCTATAGTGATTGATGATGAGGAGGTGATGCATATCCTTAATCCCATGCGATAAGATTTTATACTTGTTCCATGATAGAGAGCAAGCACGCTGAGTCAGTTGATTATCAATACTTTATTATGGAAATGTTCGTCAGATATCCTTGTTTTTTTAAGCATCCATCTTGCTAAATGATTCCTTGATGCAGGAAGACACTTCTTTTATTTTAGAGAAGGACGAGACATTGTCCACGCTTGTGGATATGGGATTCACAATGGAAGAGGCTTTGATAGCTGTGGATAAACATGGTGTGCGCATTCCCGTAGTTTCCTTTTTATTTTTCTGTTTTACTTACAAGTTTTCTTTTTCTTTTATTTTCCCACGTATTAGCGGCAGCATTACATGATCGAAGTTTAGGGGAAAAAACCAATTTTTTGGCCTTCTATGTTTCATGTAGTATTTGCAAGTTCATTTTTGTGGTTGACTTAATAATATTGACATGTCTACCATTTGGCAGGCCTTGAAGCCGACATGAGTGAGCTAACAGATTTCATTTGCGCTAATCGAATAGAAAAGGAAATTGATTCCCAACTTCAAAATTCATATGATAAAAAACACAGTGGAGCTGTCTATACCTTTAAAAAGGTATTGTTTATAATCGTTTTAAATAACTTTTAAAATTTTGTTTTTTAATGCGATTTTATAATGTAGATACAAGTATCTCCAAATCATGTTGTACCTTTGTTTTGCAGTCAATATATCCCTATGGTTATACAACTAAGAGAATCAAACTTGGCAACGAAAAATGGAAAAGCAGAATGTACAGGGCAAGTGAGAAGATAGCGGCAACGACTGATGAGGGGGCGTTGCATATTCCTAATCCCATGACAGGATTAAGTACACCCAATGAATTTTGTCCCATTGTAGAGCGAAAGCTCCCAGAGATAGTTAATGGTCCACCCTACTTCTATTATGAAAATGTTGCTATCACTCCTAAAGGAGTTTGGAGTAAGATATCACGTTTCCTATACGAAGTTGAGCCAGAATTTGTTGACTCCAAATTCTTCTCCGCTGCAGCGAGGAAAAGAGGATATATCCATAATCTTCCCATTCACAACCGTTACCCTCTCGCTCCTCCCCAACCACTCACTATTGCCGAAGCTTTACCTTCAACCAGCAAGTGGTGGCCTTCGTGGGACAAGAGAACAAAACTCAATTGCCTTCAAACCTGCATAGCTAGTGCCAAACTCACACAGAGAATAAGGAAAAAGCTTGAGGGAAGTAATAGCGAACCCCCTCCACATGTCCAAGAGTATATACTTCAACAGTGTAAAAAGTGGAACTTGGTTTGGGTCGGAAAAAACAAGGTGGCACCACTTGAACCTGATGAATTGGAGATGCTGATGGGATTCCCAAGGCATCACACCAGAGGTGGTGGAATCTCCAGGACAGATAGATACAAAGCCCTTGGCAATGCATTTCAGGTAGTTTTCCTCTATCAGAACGAGTCTTTATAATTAGGGTATGTCAAACACATCTTCATCATAATGAGTCTTCGTAATTGAGGGTATGTTTGGTTTTGACATATATTCTAGCGCTTTCAAACTGAAACCACATATAAACGGTCTAATTATGATTTTTTTTTTGGTCTTTCTGATAATTCCTTCTACAAGCTGATTAATTAAGTGCAAGCGCATGGGTTTCAGGTTGATACAGTTGCCTACCATCTTTCAGTATTGAAGGATCGTTTTCCAAATGACATGAATGTCTTGTCCCTCTTCTCTGGCATTGGGGGCGCTGAGGTTGCTCTGCATCGACTTGGAATTACACTTAAAAATGTGGTATCTGTGGAGATATCTGAAGTAAATAGAAACATTATTCGCAGTTGGTGGGAACAGACCAACCAAACCGGAAATCTGATTGAGGTTGAAGACGTGCAAGAAGTGAGTGCAGATAAATTGGAGAGATGGATGGCTTCTTTTGGTGGGTTTGACCTTGTCATTGGTGGGAGCCCCTGCAATAACCTCGCAGGCGCTAACAGAGTGAGTAGAACTGGACTCGAGGGCAAGGATTCCTCCCTTTTCTATGAATACTATCGTATTCTAGACCAACTCAAGACCGTGATAAGGGGTTAGAGGGGTTTCTGCGTTTGAAGAAACATTTGACATGAAAACATTTTACAGGCCACATATAGAGGATTTCTTTCTCTTGGAAAAATATTTTCAGTTTTCACTTTTCATGATAATTATTCGGAGCACAATCACCTTTCAATTGAATTGAGTAGCTGTTGGACTTTTGTTCCTTATGCCAAAATAACTTAGATTTTGTCCAGTTCTAATCCCATCTCATGTTTAGTCCACTTTCTGATAATTAATTTCAACATTAGCTTTTCGCCAATGCTTTCAATTTATGTATAATTTTTAAATCTTAAAAGTTCTAATATTTGTATTAACACAACGGGAATAAAACTATTATCTCTTTTTTTTTCAAAATATTTTATTCTTAAATATAATATTTCAATCTATTTTATTTTATAAATTTATAATTTTTTAAAATATCTTTATTAATTATGTATAGTTTCTATTATTTTTTTAATATTATCAAATTAAATTAGTTAACTCTTTCTTATAATAATACTCATCTAATCTTAAATATAAAATCTATTCATAAGTATAATTTATATTAAGAAATGTTCTTTACATTTAGAACTGAATTGAGTAATTTTTAGAGAAAATTTGAAAAAAAATGACTATTAAATTTTAAAATGACAAATTATAAATTATCACAAAAACAAGTTGTTATTTATTTTTTGAATGTAGTCATTTTCCTTATAAATACAGTAACCAATACTAATTTAAAATTTAAAAATTCAATAATTATTTTTTTGAGATTTTTTTAATTTTTATTTGTTGTTCCACAAGCCGCGGATAAAATATTTTACTATAATTAAAACATTTTAATTAATCCGACGCTGATTTGCCTGTCCACCCGCCGCAGTTGAGCAACGGAGACAGCGGAAACTCAACCCAAATCTCACGGCCACAGAAAGACGAGGAAGGAAAAGGCGGTAGCCACCCAAGCGGGTTCACGGTAGGGCACAGAGCCGAAAGCTCCTTTTCTGTTCATGGTTCCGTTTCGCGAACCAGAAAAGTTGCCACTGCTTCGGTTCTGAATAAATCCAAAGAACGAATTCGAGGTATATTGCTTTTTTTTTAAAAAATTATTGTAAAATTCCAATCTGTTATTCCGATGCTCTACACCTATGTACCCATATTAATTGGCAGGACGAAGACTACTCTGAATTGAAAAATTGGAAAGGTGTATACGTTTTTGGTAAAAAAAAAAAACAAGAAGAAGAAGAAGGAGAAAGGTGTATATGTTAATTATGAATTAGACTGAATGTCAATTTTCTGTTCTATTCCTTTCTCATTATCTGCTCTTTTTGCACGATGATGGACTTCAGCAGTTCAGCTATAACTACAATTATGTGGATTGACCCCCTTTGATGTACGCTTGGTTTTTTCCCATCGTGATTAATTGATATACAGTTCTCATTAAAAAACAATTGTTTTTTTATTGACAGCATGGTGGTGCCTTGCCCCGTCGTCAATCTCTCTCTGTCTCTGTCTATTTTTCTTTTTGGGGAATGCAAAGGGCAAGCTGAACAACTTGAAAGCTGACGGGATCAAATACGGGACCTCCCACAAGCAGGGAAAGCTTGGTGTCACTAAGCGTTGGCTTACCCTGTCAATTTTAATGTTACTAAAATTTGGGATATTTTCACAAAAAAAGGGGTATTAGCTTACCTGAGTGGTGTTGATCTTGTTTGGGTTTTGTGTTTCGCCCCTTCACAACTGTTACTTGTTAGTTACGATTCAGTGTCTCCCCTGGTATGAAAAAAGAGTTCCTAACTTAGTAATATTAGATAGAAGTTATAATGAATGAAACTTGATCGTGCGGTCGTTCTTTTAAAGATGCCGCAAAATACGCCACGGTAATTGAGCGGCACAGGGAGCTTGTGAAAGTAAAAAATTTGATCTTTCTCCAATCCTGGCCAGGAAGGCTAGAAGATCATGCCTCGGTATAAGGATGAACCCCCTGCGGTTCGCGTCTACACCGTCTGTGATGAATCCAGGTCAGTGCTTTGTTTGCACCCCATCTCTTTGGCTTCCTAATTCTCTCGGTCTCGATTTTTATCTTTAATCTTTAACCATCAAGTTTATTCTATTGTCCTTGTAATTCATGACATTACCTTTTCATGAAATGCAATTAAATGGCAGGCTTTTTATATAAATTTTCTACTAAAATTATTTTAGTTTGGTTGGGATATTTTATCAATGGATTTGAGGCTGTAGATATTTGATTGTGAAGAACGTTCCAGCATTGGGCTGCGGGGACGATCTGTTGAAACTGTTTTCAACCTATGGAGAAGTCGAGGAGTAAGTTCGTTGCCTTCTAATTTGCGTGTTCTTGTTCTTCAGTCTTCTCTATGCTTGTAGTTTGCTTGATATGCTCACTCTTCAGATGTAAACCAATGGATGCGGAAGATTGTGAGCCATACACTGATGTATATTGGATAAAATTTCGTCTTTTCAGCAATGCCAGGTTCCTGAAACTGAATAATTTATGACAATCTTTAGTTGATGTCTAGCTTGCTAGAATTAGGAGACTAGTTGAATATTTGAGAGGATTGAATACCCATCTTAACTTTTCAGGTTTGCAAAAAGAAAGTTGGATGATTTTGTTTTCCTCGGGAATCGACTGGTGGTCTCATATGCTCCTCATTTCGAAAGCCTCTTGGACACAAAGGATAAGTTAGAGGGAAGAAGATGGGAGGTTTTAGGACGATTAAATCGTAAGTCCTGCAGTGGAGACAATTTCAAAACATTTTCTTTTTTTTTTTTTTTTTGTGAGGCTTATACTTATAGTATGGCCACAGAAATCCTATAACTGATTAGGATCCTCTAAGATTTTTAAGGACATTGACAGTGTTTCAGAGTAAGATAGACATAGCACGTGAGGTCTAACACTTGATAGTGGACCACTACACTATTGTCATTAAATGTTGATTCCAGACACTTTTTCTTTTTTTTTTCGCCATATTTTTATCTGAAGTAATCTAGAGGGTCCAAATGCTATCCACTGAATTGCTTTAATATCTTTTTTATCAACTTACGCATGCATTTACCATGATAGCAGCTAGAAGATCCAAAGAGTCGACGACTTTGAACACTTGGTCTCCCGTGAAGAGCAACACTGTTGTGAACTCCTCTCAGAGTAACAGCCTACCTCAACGTTTAGATTCTAATAAAAGGTGGTTTTTCAATTATTTGTAGTGCGATACTGCAGTTTAAACTAAGGCAACGTTTAATTGATTCTCTTTCGTTATTGTAGGGATTCTAGAGAACTTGAAGGAAGACCACTGAGCAGTAATCCTCCTTTGAAAATGGTTTCCTCGAATGAGGTTTGTTGCTGCTGTATTGTACATGAATGTCTTGATCTTGCCTTCAAAGTGAATCTTTTAAAATGAGGGGAGCATTATTTGTTGTTGTGTTCTGAAAATTTTCAAGCTCCTTAGCTTTATGAACCTTATTCCCTGGAAAGGTAGAAAGCAATTCTGCGTCTACATTAGACCCTATATTTGTTACTACTGGTTAATTTTTGAGCTACCCCTATTTCACACATGAAAATCAGTTTTTTCATAATTGTATCTTCTGTTGTGCTGAACCTTTCTTCCCTATGTGTATCATTCCATCAATCCGTTACGCATCGTATTTGAGGATCTGATGATATTATGCTTTTTTATGTTGTTGGACTAATTATGCTCTAACCGGCATGTTATATGCAAGATCTTGAGAAGCTACTAACCATTTACTAACTTGGCCTAACCTTTTCTTTGCTTAGGATTATTTTGCTTCTCAATCTATGAATCAAACTGTTAGGTTGGTGAGGGAGAAGCTTGATAAGGTAACGATTCTTACCACATGATTTGTCGTCAAATATTTTGCTTATTATTGAATGATGAAATGATTTCTTCTTCTCATCCAGATTCGATCCAGTGGTGAGAATATACAAGCCGAGCCCGCATCAAAGAGATCAAGAGTTGACAATAGAAGGAGAATTTAAATTTGGAGTTTCGTTTTTGTTCTATTGGTCTCAGCTAGTTTTGTCTTGCATCTATGACCTTCGCCAGCACAAAATAGGTGGACTTTACATCATACAGCGTCTGAAAAATGAATTGTACAGTCCCCATTCAGATGCTTGAGCTTTCCTTGCTCATCATTTCAGTGAAAAATTCTTTCCTACACATTGTGCACTGGTTGTTTGTGTAAAAAGTGAATGAAAACTTGTTGGAATATTGCAGGAATCGACCTGCTAATTCTATTCTGATTAGCTTTAATTAGTCCACCCCTCCCCCCCCCCGCGGGACAAAAGTTTTTTTTCCTCCCTTCTTTTTTTTTTTTAAGTGCAAAGAGCATATAAATATAAAACTTGCTTAACTAATTCCTGGAAATTAAGGAGGTTGGTTAAGTTTTTATTTCTTTCACAGAAAACCAGAAAAAAAAGCTGTAAATTACTAAATTCTAAATCAGGTTTGGTGACAATACTTTATTTGGTATTGAATGAATTTGTAAATAACAAAATTTTTGTTGACATTCTTTATTTGGTATTTAGTAATTTTGAACTTTTTTGGGGGTCATTTTCCCTTTCTTTTATTATATGAAAATTACATGTCACTTTACTTGAAATTCGTTAATGAGGGTATTAAATGAGAAAGAAGATTATGGGGAAAAAATTTTAAAAAAAGGAATGAAAAAGCTGTAAAATTAAATGAGTAACATGAAAAAGTAATTAAATGATAGATGAATTTTTATATTGAAAATCAGAGGGAGTATGTTCCAACGTATTGTTGTTACCCGTGCATTGCACAATGTTAATGTTTCTACAGGTTTTTTTTTTATGATATAATGTAAAATGCTTTTGGAGAAATTAGTTATTATTACCTTCGGTCCTAATTATAAGAGCTAGTTGACTAATTTAAGAAGATTAAAGAAGTAAGTTGAGTTAGTTATTTGTCCTAAATAGGTATTGTCTTTCTTAAAATATCTTTGCTAATCAAGTGTATTGACTATAACTATCATTGTTAGAATGACTACTTTGAAAAAAAATATATAAATATGAGAAACAAAATAGACTGGGGTCTTATATTTATGACTAAAATAAAAATTAAATAAGGTCTTATATTAAGGACCAGAGGTAGTAGTTGACTGGCAAGTTGGCAACTTTAATTTTCATTCCCCAATATTTTAACTTATTGTCACCCGAACATTTTATCTTTTTTTTTTTTTAAATATTGAAAGGCAAGCAGGAAGCTTGAGTGTTACAAAAGGTATTTACCTACCCAGCACAAAACGTCACAGGTTACTGGGCCATTTGACCCTGCCCGGAATACCCGAACATTTATCTGTACCAGTTGCTAAAAAACCAGTCATGACTTCTATTGGTCTTTTTTTTTTTTTTAGGTCGGGGGGGTGATGGCGGATTGGCGGATGTCAACTAATCGAGTCTTTTAGGGCTTACCTCAAACGGGTCGCTGGTCACATGGTTACCCGCATCCGAATCCGATGCCTTCTTCAGTTCATCTCCTCAAGGCTCCCTCCCTCCCGCTGCATAAATCAGAGAACTTTGTGACGAAGAACCGAGTCAGAGACAACGTATCGAGCCATTTTGTATTGCGAAAAATGATCATTCCGGTTCGTTGTTTCACTTGCGGAAAGGTAGTAACTACACTTGCAGCTCCACGTGCGAATAAAACCACCTCCTTTCACTGGTGGTAGATATAAGGCGCAGGATTTAGGGTTTCGATTAACTGGATGTTTGCTTTGTCTTCGTAGGTGATCGGAAACAAGTGGGATACGTATCTGGATCTTCTGCAGGCAGACTACAGTGAAGGGTTGGTATCTCCTATCCATTTTTCCAGTCTCTGTCGGTGTTTTTTGGGTCTGAGATATTGATCAGTCACAAAATTTCGTTTTTCTTCTCTCTTTCTCTTTGGGACTATGTTTTTTCTTTATTGTTGGATTGTAACCGGCATTTATGTATATGATTGCTAAAATTGACTTTGGAACTACAGATATTGTATGATCGAACGCAATGTACGCGAGAATTCATATATGTTTTTGGGTCAATATCATGTATTTTTAGTCATACTATGGGAAATAACACTTTCGTCCCCTTCTGAGAAGGTTGCGATTGTCAACAAACTGGTGGTTTTTTTCCTTAAATTTAGAAACAAGAAACATGTCTTGTCTTCTTGAATTGTCAGAGTTCAGAGAGAGATTTTGGAACTATAAACTAGCTACAATTGTATTGCAGTTGTGCTCAAGTGTTCATAACTTATGTACTAACTACTGATTACATAATTTGAGTGATGGAAGATCCATCATTACTCTTTCAGATTTCAATTTTCCTCAACATGCAATCCATTTTAGTGCCAAATGTCTGTTGTACTTAAGTTACACTTGTTGGGGCTTGTAATTTTAAGCGTAGGCATAGGCCCTACAGTTTCTCTCAAGGGTTCAAAAGTGATTTCTGATGTCAAGATAATCTTTTGGGAATTTGCAAGCCTTTCTTTATTCAATTATCTCATATCAAGTAACCCTTCTAAAGCTGCAACAAACCCTTGATGACTATTACTGCAATACTTCATTCGTCGACCGCTACAGGGTATCAGTTTTGTTATATTAGTTGTAATGATGAGATGCAGAGATGCACTAGATGCTTTGGGTTTGGTCCGTTATTGCTGTAGACGCATGCTGATGACCCATGTTGACCTCATTGAGAAGCTTCTGAACTACAATGGTAATTTATCCTACTCTGTTATTCTGTCTGGGCGCGTCATTTTCTGATACTGTTTAGCTTGAACTGATTGTAAGTTCGGTTGCAGCTCTGGACAAGTCTGAGCCCAGCTAGACAACTCAAGGAATTACAGATGACTCAGAAACCAGTTTTGCCACTTTCCTCTCATCGTGTCAATGATTTTGCCTTCTTTTACTTCTTCAAATTGTCTATCGTCAGACGTGTCTAGTCTGTTCGAGTCAATTGAGCTGTGTGCAGTTTTACAAAGAGACTATCATATTAATCTGATGCAGCGTGTGTTAAATACCTGGCCCCTCGTCTGTGTCAGTTAGTGTGATACTGTGATGTGAAACCCCAACTGTGACATCATTACATCATATTATGACTTGAAAGACTAAATTTACAAAGCCTTGTTTTCAAATTGATTCTACACGGGATTTTATCCTCTTGTGCGTATTGTAGTCTTCTACTTTATATAAGTATGGCTGCTGTTTAGGAATTGGACATCACAATGACTAAAAGCCTAATTAATGATTCTGTTGCTGAGTAGGTTGAGTGTAATAATCCACTACAGGGTTGTTGAGGTTAACTTTTCATAATCTGTTTTCTCTGTTGATGGCTGTATTTGCTTTCAAGGGGGTTTTGAACCTTCATATTGGGAGCACTGCTCTTTCGTATCAAAGATCAATATCCATAACACGAGAATCTCCATTTTAACTCTTGAACTGGAGTTGGCCAGTGAGTCTAGGGCGGTGTTTGGATGAATCCAAACCATGATTTGAGGAATAGCTTCTGGAGAATAGATTCTGGAGAGAATAGATTTTCTGAAAAATAGATTTTGTGAAAAAGTGATTCTGAGAAGTAAGAGTGTTTGGATAGTTATTACCAGAAACACTTTTCACATGTACAAATTACTAAAAAGGGCATAAGTTAATATGACAATTATATAAGGGATAGATTTATAATATATTTTGATTTGAAGAATAAAATTGTTAATAAAATAATTTTTACCCACATAATTAATAATATATAAGATAATATAATTAATAAGTAATTAATATGTATATATATTTATAAATTATAAGATTAAATATGTTTATAGAAAAATGATTATTTTTTTGTAATAGAAAAATATTAATTTGCTTTAAAGATTTTAAACATGAAATTCTATAACATTTTTTCACAACTAATTTTTATAATAATATACTACCTTTCATCTTTAATATAATTAATTAATTATTACTACATGGGTAAAAATATTTATAAAATATAAGATTAAAAATATTTTTAAAAAAGATGAATAATTTTTATAAATAGAAAAGAAACAAATTAAAAAAAAATTACAATGTAACAACATACTACCTCTTTCTGGTTTAAAAAAAAAAAAACATACCACCTCTCTAAACAGTGAAGGACCGGAAGATTAAAGCTTGAGGGACATATGTGTCTAGTCCCAAAAGAGATCCTCATATCCGTCTGACACTCTTCAATTTTTTTTCTAAAAGCATATTTAAAATGCTTTTTCAAAAACCATGGTTTTGGGGCCAAAACCATGGTTTTGATTTTGTATGAGTGTTTGGGTTATTTTTTCTCCAAACCATGGTTTGGGGAGACACCCAAACACACCCTAGATCTATTAAAGTTCCCCTGGGGGGCAAAAAAATAAAAATTATCAAGTTCTTTTAAAAGAACAGGGATAATAAAGCTTATGCTAAGTTTGAATAAACAATAAAAGTGACAGTGGGAGAAAAATGAAAGAAGAAGCGAGCCTCCCGTGAAAACAGAAATCAACACGCATGCACGTATTTATGTATTTGAACTTTTGTGGAAATTATACTATTTCATCCCATGCACAAGTCTGGAATCCAACTTGTAAATTGTTTATGGATAAGAAAGGAGAGAAAAATGATAAATGAAAAAGAAGAACATGAAATTTATTCATATTTTCACTTTTAAAAGAGGTCATTTTGAATCTGGCGTACAATTTCACTTCTAATAGCTTTCAGAAGCCCATTCCGCGCTCGGCTGTGCAGCAACATATAGTGTTATGGGCGTTGTAGGAATGGATGAACATTTACTGGTTTTTTCCCCTTCTAACCATTTAAAAATCACTTTAAGAACAGGGAAAACACAGGAGGGCTATTTATTGCATGCGAGGTGACACTGTTCGTCTGGTTGTGAATAGCCATAATGGCTTTGGTTGTGAAGGAGTACCAGAAAATTAATGCTTTGAAATATCGCCACATTTACAAATGCCATAGGGGAAAAAGAAAAACACAAGGCCCGAACAAGATTCAGCTACATAATAAACTCATGGACTACAAATGCAAAAACTAATATGGGTTATTTGGGCATGAAACCTCTTCGAGTCAATTTTCAAATATGAAAATGCAATTCAACTTGTATTTTCTTTTGTCCTGAACCCCACTGTCTCCATTATGAATGCAATGGATCGGCTTCTCTTCCATGAAGGGACCACACTGCATTTATGGTACCTAAAGCACATAGGACCCATATAACATATCGAACCAATTAGGCATATTAATTCTTGCCATTTATGATAGCCCAGTTACAAGGTCGAAGAAGAAGTTATTCTAGTGGCTATGCTTTTGTCCACCTTGTACTCTTTAGCAGCACAGAAAATACACTCCCAAAATAGAAAAGAAATGGAAAAAGAGAGAACTAAAATATAGATAGTAACATGGCCTTTTCTTATCTCTTTTGAGATGAGGTGAATCGTTCGTTTGGATTTCTTGAGCTATTTTGGCCCTTCACTTAGGATATGACAGGATAACATTTACACATGATGCTGCCCTTAAAAATATCTTCCCATATTCCATGCATTTTGCTTCTCATTTGTTTGCTTTCTTCTTCTATTTCGTATTCCTCCCAATTTGTTCTCTTTCTCTTCCTTCACTGCTACACTATGCATCACAATCACCAACCTTCTCTTCCTTGTCTCTATTGCCACCCTCAAAGATATATTACGATGGTGATTCTCTATATCTGTTTACTCTTTATATCCACACACACACACACACTCACATGTTCATATGTACTATGACTTCATCTTCATGCACTGACTTTGAATATACAGGTTCAGAATCTCATAGAGAGATGCTTGATCCTTCACATGAGCCAAGACCAATGCGTTAAAGCATTAGCAGAGCATGCAAGGATTGCCCCACTTGTTACACTTACGGGTACATTTTCAGTAAGAAGAAACAGAAAGTAATATGGTACATACTTCACGGATATCAAGGTTTATGTCTGAATTTTATTCTTGCTGTGCAGTGTGGAAAGAGCTACAAAAGGAGAATAAGGATTTCTTTAGAGTATATTTCCAAGTTATCTCACCAAGGCCTTTTTTTCCAAGCAAGACTATGTGAAGCTTATGATGAGCATTTAGCAAAAAAGGGTTCTCACATATTCTTATTTTACTGTTCATCAGGCAGATCTTTTCACAGGGGGCCGAGATTAGCGAGGAGGAAACAGTGGAAATAGAGGATTAGTTAGTAATTAATTAATAATCATGTCTGGGAAAAGCTAGTGAGGATGAAGAACTCTATTAATAACTCCTGCAAGTTAAAGTGTATCATGGATTTGGAGATAGTGAAGTTTTAGCTCCTCTTATATATATTTATTACCAGATAGAGTCAATGATGATTAATACTACATCTGTTATAATTAGAAAAGTGATTTTGTTAATCTTCTGCATTTAGCTCTTCCCATATTATGCTAGCAAATGACACGCGTGAAGCCAATCGATTCGCTAATAAAGTGTGAAGATTTAAGCGAGCGTTTAAGCCCAAGTTTAGTAATTTTTATTCTACTGTTCAGCGAATTATGTATATAAATATTATGCAGTATGCAATTGAAACTTACGTGATTTCATTAATGAGGCTACGTAATTACAAGAACTTGGAGTTGATTCAGTATTTAGACTTTTGTATTGTTGTTTTTAACAAAGCCCATTGAACTATTAGGAATTCTAATAAGTTACAGGCTATTCAAATTGGAAGCAGATAAATTTTAACAATAATAACGTTGTTTTCAGTTTCTTTAGCCTTCTTTATGGTTTTTTATCAATGAGCATGTGAACTTCTTAAAGACAAGTACTCTATATTGTAGCATTCGATTCTACTTTTACATGATAAGTTTGAGTTTCATCTCATTGGGCTCAGAATTTCTGCACTAAATTCAATTGAAGGGTTTGGGGTTCTTGGTCCACTTCATTCGGTTTTGAGCCAATCTACTTAGCCTTTGTTTGGATCCACAGTTGAAACAACTTAAAGCAGCTTGTAAGCCCATAAGCATGTTTGCCTGTTGTATATGTGATGTCTGAATATGGTTTATGGGTCAGAAGCTGATTTGAATTCCATAATTTGAAATCGTGCTTAATGGGGTTGGTAGGACCGTTAAGATACAATTATTGCTGGTCAGAAGAATGTATTCTCTCTCTTCACCCTCATTATGCTTCTCACATTTCTCCCTCCTTCTATCTGCCGTTGAACGCTGAGGTCCATCTCTGTTTCTATGTGACCACAAATCAAAATTATTACCATACTGATTGGATCAGATTATGAGAAATTAAGAGAAAGATGAACTATAGAGACTGCAAGTTATATTCAAGCAATTGCCCTCGTGGTAATTTATAATATCCACTTGTTTCTAATTGTCTATTCAGTCTTTAATTCTCAAAAGGCAAATGATTTAGAGACAACTTGTATGGTAAGACAGAAATAGTACGTGGTTGTCATGTTAAGGTTTCATCATTCAAAAGTGGTCCTCTCCTAGACATATCTTTCTTCCACAGAGGCCTTGTCCTCCTTCATTCACATCCTATTTTCACACATGAAGTCTTACCCTATTTACAGCAGCATAAAGTACTATACTACAAATACCATAGTTTCGTAATTTCTAAGACTGTAAAAGACATGACCATGCGTCGGTTGTAGGATAAACCAGAGAAACAAACATCCAAAAAGGTTCCAGTGATCACATATCAGATTCAAATTTTATAATTACACTAGGAAGATGATGATATCTGGAGGAGGACACGTATCACAAGCAGGTATCACTAGTTATTACTATATATATGAGGATAACAAGTGTCATGAAGTGAAAGACCCAAAAAGCCCTTGCATTGTAGTCTGATTTTGAAATTACTATGATTTTTCCTTCTCAGCATCTTCATGTGGATCCACATGGCTACAGCTTTCTTCATCTTCTTCTTTAGATTGAGCTTGAGGGAAGTTGGCCCACTGAACATGACCATAAATTTTTTAGGCATTAATTAGTCTTGTGAAAAATACACTTGTCCTCTTCAATCTTGCATAAGCAAATCTTTCTTTTTTCTTTTTCCTTTTGGGAAATAAAAAATAAAGAGAGTTGATTCTTTACATTTTTGGCTGCTGTTCTGAAAGCTTCCTTGTGGACCATGTCTGGGTTCTCAGCCTTCAGCCTTCTGATCTCTTCTCTGCAACAAACCAATATTCTGAATTAAATTATCTTTTTCACATATTAATCTGATTCTAATTTCTATACACTGAAATATTACCGGATGAAGCGATTATAGGCCGATGGTTTTTTCTGCCTTTTCCCTGCAGGGCATATGTAGAATCAATAAAACTCGTTTCAAACTCAATATCATGTCAAGTATTACAAAAAAGCCCATTGAACTTCAAGTAAATTGATCTCTTTGCTAATCTTTATTCAACTATTTCAGACTTGTTTGGATTCACTTATAAGTAACTTTTTAAACGTGATTTATATAATACTCCTCCGGTCCTAATTATAAGACCCAATTGACTTATTTGAGGAGATTAAGGAAGTAAGTTAAGTTGGTTATTTATAATAAATAAGTGTTGTTATTCCTAAAATATCCTTGCTAATTAAGTATATTGGCTAAACTATCATTATTAGAAGGATTATCTTGAAAAAAAATACATAAATATAAGAGAGAAAATGGATTGGGTCTTATAATTAAGACCAAATAAAAAGTCAAATTGGGTCTTATAATAAGGAGGAGTACAAAATAAGTATATGAAGAGTTTTGTCTCAACTTACGTGAACTTACTTAAAAGTGCTTTTTAAACGGAGCTCCAAACAAGCTCTTTATCACTTAGAACCCTTTACAAGTAACTTTTTTTCCCTATAGCTAACAAACACCTTGATTGGAATGATTAATTAGCTGATCAAAGATGGTGTTACTTACGTTCATTAATGGCATCACTCATTGGGATCGCATCTTCTTCCCCACTATCAGAACAAGGACTCTTGTCTGCGTTTTCTTCTGGACTACCTTCTTTTGGCTGAAGATGTACGTATAATAGTCACAGAAAAGCATTTGAAATAATCAGAAGAATCACTATACTTTGATGAACTCAATTACAAGTGAAAAGGCTAATAATGAAGCATGCAAATATACCTGAACAGCATAAGTAAACTGGGAAGGAAAGAGTTGAAAAGGGACAAAAGAAGCTTTCATCATATTAATAGAAAGGAGGTTTGTGCAGTTTCCACATTTTACAGTCACCTCCATTGATAAACTGCTGGGTGGGACACTGACCTAATGGAAAAGAAAACCCAAAGGAGAACTTAAGTATAATCAAATACAAATGATGTGATCAAGAAGCTATGAAATAAGAACTGAAGAATCAGTACCAGTAACATGGTGCTGCAGACTCCACATTGCACGTAGCATATCTGTTCTTGAAGATGAAGCTCGTTAAGTGTTGACATGGCTTGGTCTCTGAGAGAGAGAGAGAGAGAGAGGACGAAGCTGAGATGAAGCGAGGAAGCATTTAATTTATAGTTGAAGGTTGAGACTGAAACAAAGTTTCATGCTATGTTTGTTTCGTTGAAAAATTATTTCATGAGTTGTTTTTTTATTTTTGCTTTCCTGTCTTGATCATTGCATAAGGGAAAAAAAATAGTATGAAATGTTAAGAGTTTGGACATTGTGGCAAGGCACTGGTCAAAGATATGACATTAAAAATGGTGACCGCTTGGATGCGCCAATCAATCAATAAATTTGGTACTAAGATAGCAATAGGGGTTAGGCATCGATTACCAAAAATGGATGATATATTTAGGATATAATATATGATAAATGTTATGTTGTATATTGAGTGTATTATTAAATATTATTATCAATATGTTTATTAAAAAAAATGTTTAAATCCAACCAACATGCTCAAAACCAAAATTGGTCAGTCAAATTTAACAAATTTTTTATTGGTCTTAATTTGGGACTCAAAAATACTACCTCCGGTCTTAATTATAAGATATTATTTGTAGTCTACAAACAAAGTCTTATAATTAGGACTTAAGGTAGTATTATGATTTTACAATGTTTCTTCTCACCAAAAAAGAAGAAGAAAAAGTCACCCTACTGGCAGCTGGAGCTTCATCAACTGTGACTCAAAGCCACCTTTATATAATCATCCACCACCCTTATAAGTGTTTGCAGAGACTTTATTACAATATTTTTATTGTAAATAACTAATTTGAACTTGTTAATTTCTAAATTTGTCATCTGATTGTCTAGAAATTAACAAGTTCAGTTTAACAGTTCACAAGTCCTTATTAGTTATTCACCACAAAGTTTTTATAATAAAACTACTAAAGGGTCACTCACTAGCAAAGGAAGTTTTGGGTGGAATATATAATAGATTGTTTCCAATTGTAATTAAAATCGATTATAATGACTTAGGTTGAATAATTCAGCAACCCAAATCCGATAGAAGGACTCAATCAATCATAATCTTGGCTTTAATGACTTGTGTTGTGAGGTACTTATGGAGCTTTTCGTTGCCCTAATTTGCTCCAACACTGAACCTAAAAATGTGGAGAGTATATCTAAGCCTCTCAGATTACAGTTACATCCTTAAGATCTGACGAAGAAAGATTACCCATCTTCTTATTATCGGACTTTGTGTGGCTCAAAGTTGCATGCTTATTTGCGGGTCAGGTACTTTGTCTCATGTCTCACTATGAAAACAGACCATTTACTCATCACATGCATAACCAAAGAATGTTGATCTTGACATGTACTAGTCATCCACCTTCATTTCTTTGTTTTGAATTTTTCTTAATCATTATTTGGTAGTGGTACACAAATCTTAAAAAAAGTGTTTTTGTGCTTTATGAGATAAATACAGCTAATTCAAACAGTATTAAGCATTGTTGAGTCTAAATAAAAATGGCTTTTCCACCTAATTTTTTCCATCTAAAAGTTTTGAAGTCGTAAAATCTTATGTAAAAAAAAAAATCATCACTTCCCACTTAATCCCCCAACTCTTTATGTTGATTTTGAGATTCGAATCACGTAATTTTAGGTCATAGTTGATAAGAACGTGTCATTTTCAAAGGAGAGGGAAGAGGAAAAGGAGAGAAGACCTTTATGTAAGCATTTACTACAGGTTCCAAATACGTTGGACAAGCATGAAAAGGGACGGGAGTTATCTTGTTTTGTATGAATGTATGAAAGCTGGAAAAGAAGAACAATACAATAAATTATATATCTACACCTGAAAATTACTGAGTCATTTTGAAGGGAGAGGGAAGAGGAGAAGGTATTTCCCATGGAATTGGATTATGAGACACAGTTATAGCGCAGTGTTCTTCATGCATGCCAGACGCGACATAGTTTTTACTTTTAACAACATATCTTCAATCCATTTTGGAGAGGAATGTAATCAAAATTTGGTCAAATTCGGACCATTTTGTGGTTATTTTGGTGACCAACTTTTGAACAAGTTTTAAGATTCATCACTACAGTGTTAAGGTGCAAGGACAATTATATCAAGATATGTTATTTTCATGAATAATAATAATAATGTGATTATGATCTCCTTTTGACAAAATGAATTGAAGTTGTGCAGTTGGTAGGAATCAGGAACCGGATATATAGCTGCTTTAATTATTTAAATTCCATTTTGTAAAGTATAAAGATCTCCTCTAAATTATAAAATGTTTGCCAAGAATCCCTTTTGTTTTTTGTCACTACCCTTTACAGACTTCGCTCCATATGTTCATTTATCACATGTCCTCATACCATTCTTCTCAATCTAAAGGAGAAATCACACAATCTTATGTGCATAAATTGCTATAATAAGGAAACAGAGTATCTTGAGTTGTCAAAGGCAATGATAATGAGGGTGAGAATTGAGATGCAATAATTCTATTTCTTTCTGTATTCTCCTCCACGGTTTGTCTCTTACTAATTATCTCATGGACATGGAAGTCTATTAAGTGAAAACAGCTTTTAAAACTAAAAATTGATGGGTAGACCCCTAATAAAATTTAAGTTTGACTATGCTCAGTTCTTTGAGTTTATATCAAATTTCAGTTTAGTCATTAAGTTTATAAAAAGTATTTTCAATTCCTTAAGACTACTAAGGGATTGAAAATTCACTTTGTAAATTTGAAGGATTAAATTCAAACTTAATCTAACTTTAGTGTATTAGTTTCTAAAGTTTGAAATTAGGAACACTTGAGGGGCACATGAAGAGACGGATATATACCTAGTCATGCCTGGAGAGAAAATGCACTGTGGACAAACATTATTGTGAGGTGAGCGGGAAAGAATGAGTAAGCGGTTTTGGTGGTGAGTGTCAATTATTTAACATCACATCAGAAACTGCGGCTTTCATGGAGTTTGATCACCAACAAGATCAATAAAATAGTCAATAGTATCATGACATTGACCACATTAAATCATTTCCAGCTCTCTGCTCTTTAAGCTCGTCATGTTTGCATTCTAAAAGGAAAGGTATTGATCTTTTTTTTTTTTTTTTTTTTTTTTTTTTCCTGAGAAAGGTATTGATCAAATACAAGACAATTCAATTCTTCAACATACACATGTTCATATTAGGAAAATGCATGGATTACCAAGCTCTTAGTTTGCCACACTTTCCAGTTTATCATCCTAATTGATGTGAAAAGTTCAACACCCAAAGTATTTTCTAAATACATTCAGTACTCTGAAATTTTTTTTTTTTACCTTAATGTTAAATACCAAAAAATATTTTTAAGTACTAGATGCATCTAAAAAAAAACTAAGTGCTAAACGCATCTAAAAAAATATTTCAAAATACTGAGTACACTTGAGAAAATATTTTAAAATGCTAAATATATCTTAACCCTACAAAAAAAAGTATTTTATTCCAATATTTTGTATACAATAATTTGAGACCTAGCAGCGTAGTTCTCTCAAGTCAGCTTCAAATATTGTTAGGTACAGTTGAAAGGAATACTCCCAACATGATTGAAAATAAGGTGCAACATATCAATAATTTATTTTACAGGGATTCAAATGCCATTTTCCCCTGCTTTGTTTTGAATCTCTTTTTGGTTCTATTGTAGACAAAGTAACGAAATCATGCTCTAACGTCAACGAATATTTTTAATTGATTAAAAATAATTGAAAAACTTTTCGAGAGAGAAAAGAATAAACATGCATATGTCTGCAGAGTGCTCAGTTATATGTTGCCTAACGATTTCTAATTCAACCACAGATTTCGAGTTCTAGGGAACACGGAATAAACAAAGTATTCATATTCTGATGAACGAACAAAAAGACCGGGCAAAAGCATGACATGCGCTAATCAAATTACATCTAAGCCGCATGGTGTTAGACATTTAAACTCTGAAGTGAGTTTTGAAAATGATCTAGCAATTATGCAATCTTCATTTACGTTTCATCATCAAAAGTCACAACACAACTCAGATTTTCCAGAGGCAAGCCAGCAACACTTTCCAGAAGAAAGAACAATTTAGAAGCATAAAATTACAGTTGATTCCTTCCATTCTACCAGCATGTTTGAAACCACATTTTGGTGCGCCAAAACATGGTTATGACACAAGCAACATTCTTTTTGGCACAAGCAGCAAGATTGTTGCTTCTGCCAAAGCATGGTTTTGGAACCACATGCACATACATGTTGAACAACCCGAGCACAACTCATTGACAAGTTTTCAAACCATCATAATGCTTATATATTAGATGGAACAAGATTGTTTAGCGATAGGCAAGGTACCCATACTTCTCAAAATTATGATTAAGTCTACCATATACTGTCATTGAGGATGCCTACGCCAATAAATGTAAAATACCTATCAGAGGCATCAAATGGTTATCTTAAAGAATTATATTCCACATAACTTTCCTTCCAAAGAATGTTTGGGTCCAATATCAATGCTCACAAAATTACTCCAAAAGGTTCTAATTGATTATTCACCCACTCGACTCGCAATGTTTTGATCTCAAATCAAGATTTGCAATTTATTCGCTGTAAGTTTCGAAATAAATAAGCATTGTGCAATGCAATTCAAAATTTGATAGCATCATCGTTGTTCAACCCTGCATGATGTGCTTAATTTTCAGAATAGCCAAAATCATTTCATAATATGCTTGATCATGAAAATATTAACAAGACAGCATACTAAAACATAACGCGATAATCTTATCTAAAAGATGATTAAGTTCATGCCAACAAAGATCCAAAATACTTAATAATACCATAGAGATGGATTGTAAAAGCAAAACGACTAATAATGGCAGGAGAGCATTAACGATCAGTTTAGGTAAACAAAAATGTTAAAAGCAAAGCCCGAAAGATCGAAACCTTGGGGTGGTCGAATACAATTTAAAACGATGTCTACTGAACTATTCTACAAAAGTTTAAACTGCCACAACAAAAAAGCAACGTTGTAGAAAGTAGCGAACCCATGATTCA